TGGTTGTGCATTATTAATGCACGAGCGTGTGAGGAAACAAAATGTTAAGATCGTACAGGAGAGGGTTTTCAGTGTCACTGCAGAAGAAGGGGGGGTTCATATTGTTTCTTGGATTCAAAGCGACACCACCAACTTCACACACCGTGTCAGTTTAGTCATCATCAGACAGAAAATGACTCAGTCTGTGAATACAGTTGTTTCCTCCATTACTCTGGAGTTTTTATTTTATTTTTGTGCATCAACACTGAAACTACATTGTCTTATAAAATGACCTGCTTGACCTTGAAGACATTTTAATAGAAAGCCTGTTTTACATTAGGTGCATGTTATTTTAAAGACATTTATGAGACGGGGTGAATAGAAAACCACACAAAGATTCATTGTCAGGATGAATCTGCCTCTGCTGCTTCATATCGTTCATTCTTTCCACAGAACTTTATTGAAGTGAAATCGCAAATCATTCATGTGTTTCCTCAACGTTTTCAAACCTTTTATTGGAACACTGTGTGTTCAGTGTTCCAACAGGCCTTCAGATTTCACACTGACCCACTTGTTGATCAAGACTTCTTTTTGCAGTCTGTGGAATTGACCTATATTGTGTTGCTGCCAAAAATCTATTTAGTTCAGATCAAATGATCCCTCTGATCTCTTTCAGCCCAACTGAGCTCAAACAACACCACTGTTGTAAGATCAAATAACTGAACGGTGGCCAGAGGAAAAATTAGAAGAAGAGCCCGACTACAATTAGTGCTCTTTGATGTCCAGAGAATTGATAATGAATTTATTGTCAGACGCAACTGGTTTTACAGAACACTGTAAAAAGCCCTTGTGTACAGAATGTTCATGTTCCTACAATAGCATGTTTTAAAAGAAATAAATAATGTCGATGACCTTAATCCAATAACTGCACCAAGATGGCGCCACTGATTGTTTATTTTATAAAAACTAGCAAAATAAATAGTCATGTTTCATTAATTTATTACACAAAAGTTCCATTTACATTTCATACAAGTGAACAGAAATGTGTGTTGGTGACAGTGAACATTCCTTTTGAGCTAAGATATGAGTAAAACTGAACTTAAGACATTTGGCTTACATTTATGTATATTTACACCATAAATATAAAGATGTCAAGAAAGTAACAACTGCATCAAAAATATAATGAAAGGCAACTATTTTCCCATCGGAAAGTAATTTACAGTATTTCAAATGTCCTATATTAATACAACAGATATGCCTGCATAGTGAACAATCCAGGTAATTATGATGAGGCAAATAAAGAGGTTGACCGTAAACAGTGTGTTACACAGACATTGCTGTAATTTAAGCAGAACAACATGTAAACATTTGTTTATGAAGACCTGCCAGCATCTTGTCATCCCGCAGCACTAAACCGTTTTATGTGTCCATATACTTTGGACAACACAAGTCTTTCAAATCATTACATGCACCTGACAGTAAAAAGGGAATATTTTTACTCAGGTGTCAAACAGAGGGACTTTTAAGACTGCAGTTATTAGAGGAAGCTGCCTACGTTGTTGTGTCTCGGCTCCTGTCAACAATAACACGTTTCATCTTTAAAACCTACATTTGAATTTAGAAATTGCAGGAGGTCGTCTATCACCTGCTGGTTTTTACGACTGGGAAAAGACAAAGTAGCCTTGACCAATAAAAATGCTGCATAATCAGCCGTTACTCAAACGGACACTGTGGCTGGCTCTTTGAGAAAATGTCAGCAGCAAAGTGAACGTGAAAAAAGTGACTACTTGCAACCGGAACATGAAACAACAAACTTGACACTTGGGCTTGACACGGTGGTTGTTGCTCTCAGGAAGTGCTGCTTCTCTTTCTGGTTCTTGGTCGTCTCTTCAGGACGTCTACGTCTTCTTGGTCACTTTCACAATCCCGCTGTAGAAAGATGATAAAATCTAGTGTTTGAATTTAGAAATAGTTCTGCTATTATTAGTTAGATTATGGGCTCATAACTGTTCAGGTGTTACAGCTCTATGACTCCACAAGTTCAACCTCTGATGCAATTATCATGGTTGACATGTTTACATTTACAATAATGGTTCAACATACTATGAAATATGCTCTCCTGCTTTAATGCCGACAGTTGAATGATGTAATTTATTTTATTTTCACATCGCTACAGTAAATTTACTATGTATGGCAACAGGCAGGAGCTGCTAAGTGTATCTTAGAGTAAAGACCAGAAATAGCCTGCACTGTCCTTAAATAACATGACAACATCCACACCTTACATCTTGTTTCATTCAAACAAAAGCTGGGGTTTAAAAAAGGGAAAAGTACTTAGCAGTGGTTTCCTGATCACTGATATACCGGGCAAGGAAACTTAAAATATTAAAATAACAATAAATAACAGTACATTTTTAACAGTTTGATTTGTTTGTTACAGCAACTTCACTTCCAGTTTGTAACGCTGTGGAGGTATAACGTTTTTTCGGCCTTGAAGATTTCCGTTCAGTGAGTGGGATAACACTGAACGAGCGATTGATAGGCTTTGTTTTCTCGATATGAAAACCACTCAGAGCCCAACAGAGCGAATCACCACCTGCTGCAGAGGGCGATGTTGTTTGGCATGAGTTACATAGTGTTTCTTTAAATAAGGAAGATATAAAGTCAAATTGAATGATCTTTAGAGGTGCTTAGTTCTGTCAAACGGCAAAATTCATGGAATTTGACATTTTACTCGAGTTTCCAGATTTGCCAGAGAGCATCAAACATTTTCAAAATGTTGAACCATTGTTTTAACTCCTGACTGAGCCGTGGATGTTACTTCTACAACAGTGTGTTCATACCCCGTCCTGCTCAGGCAGCTTGTTGCCCTTCCTCATGATCCGCGTCAAGTGGTTGCACAGAGCCACAATTCTAAATGAGAACTGTTGAACAGACATAAGCAAAGAGAATGAGTTACAACATAAAACAATGATATTTTTTATAGAACCTTAATTTACTGTGAGATTGTAAATACTGCACTTTACCTTCCACCTGCGTCGGGCGTACTGTCTCCTAAAGTTCTCCAAGTTCACCACTGACAGCCTCTTCACCATGGCCTGTCTGGTATTCAGAGGCTACAAAGAACACAAGTAGCTTTCACGTTAATTTTACAGTTTGAGAATGCTTGTCACAGGAGAATCTCAGGAAATAAACTGAAATTGCTTAAAAATAAGAACAGATTAGAAATTGGGATATGTAATAAATAATGAACATTTATTTCAGAGGTTTTGACAACAGGTGAAAATGTCAGTGTGCACATCAACTGTGAGGTGTGAGCATCTGTTGAGATGCTGAAAAACACAGATTAAGGTGAAAAACTGATAAACTCACAATATCTCATCATAGATGCTGTTGTGTCTCATAACATCTCCAAGAAAGAAATAAAAAGGATTTTAAATCAAATAAATAAATTCAACCTTCATTAAGTGCCCATTTTGAATTGATAAAAATAATTTTAAAAACATTTCTGACTACAAAAGTTATTTTACAAATTTATAACCATTGTTCAAATAGTCTGTGAAGTCTAAAAAACATACTGGCATGAAAAAAAACAATAAATCAATCAGAAAATGTGAACTTCTAATACATTCAATTGAACATATTTGCTGTTTCATTCTGTATTCATGTAAACATGACACAGTAAAAACATTAATATCCAATATTTGACTTCATTATTAAAATAAAAGCCACCAAACCAAGTTTAATCAGCTTCTGTTAATAACACTTCAAGTTTAGTATCATTTTTAATATTGTACCACGTAAAAAAGGAACAGTTTGACATTTTGTGAATTACGGTTATTTGCTCTCTTGCAGAGGCTCGATATCAATACGTATTGTGTCTGTTGTATCTGTGCATTGAATTGGAACTTGCAGGCAGACAGCAGTTAGCTTACCGTGGCACTGGAAGCTAAGCTAACACCCGGTCCGACTCAGTCCAAAGGAAACATTATTAAACGAACAAAAAACTAAATGTACATGTCGAGGTGCCATTTTACACAAGAGTTTGCGCTTGATGAAAAATGTGTTGTATCAGTCACTGTACCTGGCCAAGAAATGACACCCCCCTCTCAATTTCTCTATCTAAAATTTTTTTTAAAACTTTTTTTACAAATAAAAAATCTAGATATAAATGTAAAAAGTAGACGTAAAGACTACACAGCTATACATTCAAAAGTTTGTGTCTCCGAAATCAAAAATCAAAGCTTAAAACACGTCTTCAAAAACACGTTAAGATCTATAAGTTCAAAGAAAGCGTGTTTTGGTCTGTGCGTGTTAACCGGACTCGTTGAGCGGCTGCTGGGCCTCTGGGCGCAGTTCCCCTCCGCAAGACTGACGCAGCAGCTCCTTCAGCGCCTGCTTCACGTCCATGTTCAGACTGCTGCTGTGGATGCTGTCAGCGCCCTCTGGATGCAGAGAGCTCATCACATCCTGCAGCCACTGCATTTCAGAGTCCAGCTCCAGCCGCAGGGCGTCCAGCTGGCTCTGCCTCTGGTTGTACTTCCCACCGATGCTCTCCAGACTGGCATCTACGGCCTTTATGTCCTCCTGCAGCAGCCTCCTGGTGGTCTCCACTTTGCGAAACTCATAGCGGACCTGGGAGAGCTGCTTCCTCGCTGCCTCGCTCTCCTCCTTGTACCAGGCCTCCTTGCTATTATAGATGGAGAGCAGTGCCTCGATATCACCCTGAACAGTGTGGTGGGCCCCTGCCACCTCTGACAGCCCCGTCTCCATCAGGCTGATGTCTTCCACCACATGGGCGAAGCGCTCAAAGTTGGCATATGTGTTGTTCTGTGGTATACTGGAATGCAGCTGGATGGTGTACTCTTTCAGACGCTTTGTCTTCAGTTGCTCCGCTTTCTTCTCGGCCTCAGGGACGCCGCTGTCGTCCTCCGTGTGGCCGCAGGACTTCAGACAGAGGGGTGGAGGAGGGGGAGGACACTGAGTGAGAGGTTGTCTCATTGTCTTTGAAACACACGAAGCGGTGAATGTCCCAGCAGAGGTCGTACTGTAGGATTAGTGTGTGACCCTACAGCGAAAGCCATGGCAGTTAAGAGCACCAAAATAAAAGGACAGACGTTATTGTTGAGTGTGTTAAGTTTCCTGCTTTCATGCTGATGTGTCCAAACAGGATGAAGACTCCACTGCAAATCACTGCTTCCATGCATTTCAGCAGCTGCCACTGGAGTGGACTCCTTTGACGTTACGGGTTGTTAAGTGTCCATGCCAGTAACACCATTAGTGACATGTTGCTTCACCCTGACCTCGGACTGTGAACTACAGATGTATTAGGTCTGTGCTGCTGAGCGTGATGATCCGTATTAAATCTAGTTACTATCACCACTGCGAGAAGGAAATACAACGAAAATCATATCAGCTTTGTCTTCTCCCGACCTAGAAAAGCTTATTCACGCCTTTGTCCTCTCAACCCTGGATTACTGCAATGCAGTATTTACCTGTGCCAGACAATCCTCAGGGTCTTTGCTTCAGCTGCTGCTCGCATTTTAACCAACACCGAGCACAGGCCCAGTATTTCTCCGTTTCATGCCTCCCTTCATTGGCTGCCAGTTCAATTTAGGATTGATTCTTGATTATTTTAATAACTTTTAAACTTATTTTTGTAGGAATGTCTTTAAACGCCTGATTTTTAACAGGCTTTAATGGTTGTTGTGATTATTTTCTTTTATGTTATCTCTCTAATTTTGGTTTAGTTTAGTATTGTGTTTGTTTATTCCCAAGTTTATTATTATTCATTACTGTAGGTGAAAATATTCCCAGGGGTGGGCGGGAAACAATAACTATGTCTCATTTCAGAGGGGACACAATCTATGCAGTCCACAAAGGATGCGGTCTTGTTGGGATGTCTACAGGGGCTTGATGAGTCATCAGCTCATCCCGCCCTTATTACTGAAGTTGGGCACGACAAGAAAAGTTTGAAGTCCCTTCGTTTTGTTTAACATGTGAACCATTCGCTGTTCAGTTGAGTTGACTTTGATACTGAAGCACTTGGTCACTGAAGCTCAATGAATCCTGGGATATATTGGGCCGGGAAGGATCAACCCGATGGAGCCTTCGTTTCTCTGGGATGGAGGACACATTTGTCGGCTGCATTCAAAGGGTACAGTCTATATGTGCCGCTGTGACAATCTGTTCTACAAATGCAGCCTCAGAAGGATGTGGCCTCTGAACTGAGACACAGCTTATTTATTGTACAGTCACTGTGATAAACTACTGTACGTCTCCAGAACATATAGACTGAAGTTAGCATTTGAACTCTTATGAACCTGAAGTCATTTTTATTTTCGTGCAAACAAACCTGCTTCTCTGTTTGACATGAGCTGTCTCATGTTGTTTCACGTGTGTGGGTGGAGTGCTGACTGTAGTTATTAAGAACACCAAACACATGCTACAGTACGGCACACATGTAGAGCATACCTTGATCCAAGGATGATTGAGGGTGTCTTGTATGGTCATCCGTTTTCTAGAAGAAGAAAATGCAGCTGAGTAAATACAGGAGAGAGGAGCGGGGTCTGTCAGTCACACACTCTGCTGTGAAACATTCGGGAATACGTTCAGATGAGTGGAACCGTCACAAGCATATTTTATTTCTGGGAAGTCGTTTTAAATGGAAACACTTGGTAAGCAACAGAACAGGACCACAGTATTGCACAATGCCTTGCCTGAGGCAATGAGGTTACTGTGTAAATAATGTTTATTCAGCTTATCTTATTTAGTGTACCAATAACAAATGAGCCCAAATCCTTGCTCTAGATTTCTGTGGACTGGCTGTGCTTTCATTCTTATTTGGATCAGGACTGCGCATTTAATGCACTTAGGATTTATGGCAGTGAAACCGAACTAAAGCTGGGCTTTGTACTGGCATTGTCGGGACTTGACCTTTGGCTTTCAGCTGTTTGCCAGCGGCCTGTTTACCTCGTGTCCTTCTCCAGGAGCTGTCGGATGAAGTTCTTGGCCAGCTCGCTCGTGTTGCTGAAGAACTCCTCGTCAAACTCATAGTTCACTGCCGAGATGTTTCCCATCGTTTCCTGCTTGTTGTCACCGAGGAAAGGTGACGCGCCACTTAACCTGAAACAACACAGCAATCGTTCACACACTGACTAAGACCTTCCTCGATAATCTCCAAGATTCCTATTCATAATCACAAATCATGACAACTTACAGTATATACGTGATGACTCCGATGCTCCTGTGAATAACAGCACAAGGTTAATCCCAAGTTCTGCCCTGGAACAGGTTGTATGGGAGGCAGCAGAGTCAGAGGTAATTAAAGGATCTTACCACATGTCTGCCTCCAATCCCAGTTGCTCGTAGTTGACTATCTCTGGAGCTGAAAATAGACAGGACAGGCTTGTGCATCACACTCAGGCCACCAGACACCACACTGTCCTGTGGTGAAAACAAATCTCATATAAAACACTTACCGACGAACTCAGGAGTGCCAAAAATGTTTTTGAAATCTGCACCAGCTTCTATTTTGTGTGCCAGGCCGAAGTCTATGATTTTGATGCGGGGTAGAGGAACGTTCCTGTCCAGCAGCATTATGTTTTCAGGCTGAAGGGTAAAGAAAACAAAACAGAGACGCACATTTATGAGCAGATTTGTTCTGATTCAGAGACTGATTAATACATAAAGACAATAAATGACTCAAGTTACCTGTTTAAAGCTGTCTGTTGTGTAAGCATTAAAGAAAAACATTGCAACCGTTATACTTCTTATACATGTTTGACATCTTGAGTGGTTTCAGTCAACAAGCACATTTGCAGTAATGTTCTTATTTCCCTTGAAATTTTAAGCTTAATTTTTGCCATTTGAAGTTTAGACATTAGTGTTGCTGGTGGAACACATTAAGAGAGAAGAGGAAAAACAGGGTGGTGGCTTTCAGAGAGCAGCGATGGTGACGACACTGCTCTCTGAAAGCGAGGAGATAACCTTGTGGTGTTATTATCTGAGAGTCTGGGCCTCAGCTAGAGAAAACAGGAAGGAAGTGTGATTCAGAAAATCTAGACTCTACTGACATTTAATTAGACACCTGCTATATATATGATATAGTCCTTGCATGTACAGTGTGTAATGGTAGAGTTGCTGCAGAGGGAAAGAATTTCATCACCCACTCGTGACAAATATAGTCTTATACATGTGATGCACAGATGGAGCAGGTTGTACCTTTAGATCAAAATGTGCAATCCTTTTGGAGTGGAGGTACTGGACTCCGTTTAGGACCTGTTTGATAAACTGAGTGGCTTCCTCTTCGCTGAGAGACTCCTTCTGAGCCAGGAAGTCAAACAGCTCTCCTCCAGACACCCTGAAACAAACACACACACACACACACACACATGAAATTAAATTTATCAAGAGGGTGAATGGATGCCTTGTATACATTTGTTTGTGCTACTTATTTAGCTCCGCTTTGCGTCTGTTTGTCCAATTCATGATCATTCCCATTAAGTTCACAGAGCCACATAAAGCATCCTTTGACCAGCTGGCATCCCATAAGCATGATTTTCTTTCACAGTCATACAAAGACGACATAATGGACGGATCGTCGGATGACGCACACAGTGTGCGATCCTGCCGCTAACAGCCAGTTCACCCCTACTTTAATTAGACCGAGCTTTCAATTAGTCCCAGTTTTCTCCATGTTCCCATGCAGTGGCTGGCTGACACAGCCGAGGTCCTCTCAGGTCTCTTTTTTCAACACAACTATTACCGACTGTGAGAGACATTCAGTTCTTGTCTTGCACAATATTGGACAAAGGTTTTCAGCAAACACATGTTTAACAAACACTCATGGAGCAGAACATTAAATGTTAAAAACACTGTAAACATTGCATAACATACTATACATTTTGTTAAACAGGCTGTGATCATGCGACTGCAGAAGAAATGGATACAAATCTCTACTGTGTGCAGATGTTTGGAGGTTTTCCGGGAGAGGTCTTTATAGAGGGAGGCAAGTCTCCCAAAGGAGGCTCCAAACGGTTTCAGGGGAGGCTCAGTTCAAAGAAAGTTAAAAAAAAAAGTAAGTACGGTTGCTCTGAAGTGCAAAACAAATCACAAAACCCCTACAAACGATAGGGCTCATCACTAATAGGATGGATGCACTGTCCAAATGTGTTCTTATTTGTCGTTGTGTTTTCTTTGCTGTGATGTTTTGATGTAGTAATTTGCACTTCATTGCCACCGTACTTTGATTATGGATTTAGTTAAGGAAAGGACATCAGCTTCAATGTGTGTGATTTGGTGGAGTTCAGAAACACAGGGTTTGTTGGGGGATCAAGCTGATTTTCAGAAACTAATAAACTCCTGTCTTCACTTGTTCTTACTTTAATTGTTGATTGTCTATTGGATCAAAGAAAATAACCATGGTCACATAGGCATCCTGTTGGTTGGAGTGAGTGTAGGAGGAGGTTCCCACTCTCACACTTTCTGTTTTAAGGTGTTGGGCATGACAAGTAAAGGTGTTGTTGAATCATGCGGTGACTCACAGTTCGAGGATAAGCACCACGTCTGTGCGGTTCTCGTACACATCATGCAGGGACACAATGTTTGCGTGCTGGAGCTCCTGCAGTATGCTCACTTCCCTCTCGATCTCCTCTCTCCTCACGCCTCGTCTGCTGGCCCGACTTTGGCGCTTCTTGATGAACTTGGCGGCGTATTCGGTGCCCGTGCTCTTCTCTGTGCAGCGCTTGACTATTGCAAATTGCCCACTGCAGACAAAAGAAAACACAATAAAAGACACTGACATTATTTTAAAATGTTATTGCTGTTTTTTCATATGTATCAAATGATAAAAAAAAACACAGTTTACACATCATTTATTTGTGTACATTTCAAAATAAGATTCTTAGTAATCAACAACAGGATATAGCTGCAGGTGATGAAAGCCGGGGAGGAAGCCGCGTGTCACAACCAGATGAAATATTGTGGTCAAGTTCATCACTTCCTGTTTCCCGGCCAGACAAAGAACAATCAGGCCTGCAGTGTGGACAGAGCTGCTGTCCTCCCACTGCACCAGCATTCCTGCCAAATCTCAAACTATCCTCAAGCGATCAGTCCAGAGAGAAAATAAAATCCCAGGAATTCTGAATATTTCCCAACAGAGGCGTGGCTCAGAGAGCATCTCTCAGTGGACGATTGTTTCACTTCTCGCTGAGCCTCGGACTGTGACTCTGTTGCTTCACTGTCACTCTCCTCCAACATAACTACACGGTACTTTCACTCAGGATTGAGTCACTGACAGACAGATTGAAGAGTGTGAAAACATTTTCCAGTTAAATATATGTGCAGAGTCTCTGTGATAAGACCAGCACATGTAATCTCAGGCTGACTAAGACTGATCTCGGACCTGAACTGCCAACACTATGAATTCCGACGTCTTAGTCACTGATCCGTAGGCGACTGAGACATGAGTGTGAGTGTTGTGGTCGCAGAGATGTCGTTCTGTGTAACGAGGTTGCCATTTGTGGCGACTTCGGCTAAGGAGGTAGAGCGGTTCATCAACCAAACATGAAGTTGATGTTTGGATCCCCGGCTGCTGGAGGCTACATGCCAAAGTGGGCAAAATACTGAACCCCAGATTGCCAATGATGTTTTTTTTTATCAGAGGGAGGACTGTTATAGAAAAAACTCACAATATATAGTATCCCTGTGGGAATGCATGTGTGAGTGGGTGAATGAGGCTGGTCGATAAGAAAAGTGAGATACAGTCAATTTACCTTTGTCTTTGAATAATAGAGACACTGAGTATTTTTAGACAATGTGAAGGAACTCCAAGAGGAGGAGAGAGATAATAACTGGCATCTCATATATTTCGGACATAACAGTCAACACTGAGATTCCAAGGTGGCTGTGAGAAGCTGTCCACTCTGCATCCACTATCATCATGGTGTCTAGTGGTGCTAAGAATAGCTCAGCCTCCAGGCTCATTCTCCACTGCTGCTGTGGAGGAAGAGATAGGGGGCCTGGGGGTGGAAAGAAAGGATGAGTGGAAAAGATGAGTGTTATCAGGAGCTGCTGGATAAAAGACAAGCGTCTACAAATGCATGGATGCCCACTCTGCTCCTGCCACACTCAGTTTCCACTTACACTCTCAAGTAGCACTCACACAGAGCTCATCACAAAACAAACTAGAATGGCACTTAGTGGAGCCCTATCTCGCAATGTTGCAGAAAACGCCCCTGATCTGGATCTGCACCAAAAGTTAATGAGTCCTATACCATGTTCCTCCACCAAGGTTTGTCGTAATAAACATACAGACCAACCAACCACCAAACAGACAGGGGTAAGATAACATAACCTCCTTGGCAGAGGTAATAAATGGATTAAAAAAGAACCGAACAACAGTAATCCTCTTTGTGGTTGGAAGCCATGGTGAGTTTAATCTTTCATTAACCACATAACTTGTAGGGTGGGTGAGCCAGTTTGCTCTTGTGAGGCACACCCAGTCCTGTGCTCACTCAACAGTCACATCTGGGAGCAGCTCCACTGTACATACTAAGCTTCCTATTAGATTTACCTCACTCAAAAACAATGAAACAACAACTGAGGTTTTCTTTTCATGCAAGCCAACAAACGTTTATTGAACTGAAGGGAAAACCCACTAATATGAAAAGATAAATGGACGTCTCCTTGACAACAAAAGGTTGAAGGTGAAAGGTTTTTATTTGCTTGACATGTTTTCAGGGCATTACATCACTTGTGTGTCTAACGGACAGAAAGAAAATATGTGAGTCAGCATCACTTCCGGATTCCAGTGCAGTATCTCGTCAACTGTAAAGCACAAGGTAGTTATTAAGATAATTTCATTCATATCACCACAACTAAACGCTATCAAGAGCATGTGAACATGTCCAGAGAATGCAGAAAAGGAGAGAGAGGGACTGAGTGGGGGAGGAAGCATCTCACATCATAACAAAGAGCCTCATGCTGCAGAGGTAACAACAGGGAGGGTGGGGTGATGAAGCAGAGCAATGTGGATTCTCTAATTCTCCCCCTCTCTGTTCCATTCGGGGGACATCTACACCTCTGAGACGTCCCTGAGAGGCTGACAATGTTAAAGATGACGATGATAATGTGTGAACTGGAGAGGAGGGTAAGCCGTCCAATGAAATCTCGCTTGCCAAAAACAGGCACCCTAAGGGGAGAAAGAGTCACATGGCAGAAGCGGCAGCAGTGTCCTTGATTTGCCTGTTAGAGCAAGGCCAAGCAGAATAATCCTTCTCGTTGATGGTTGTCGCCAAAATGTGAGAAAGTGCACGACACGAATGCTTTAGTGTGGCTGCGAAGTCGTGTAGAGTAACAGCAGAGAGAGCAGTGATGCTGGGAGTGGTATTCCACAACGGGCCAGGCGTGCCGGCTGTCTTAGCCTCTAAGCCGGGGCCGGTGGGGCTGAAAGTACCATCACTCCGCAGAGTTTCCACTTCCAACAGCTGAAGGTTATTATCCACAGCCAAGGTTGGAGGAATGCTCGGACAAGTGGCGCCGGCCCAATATTTAAACACATTTCTCAACTGAACAAGCTCGGGGGCCTGCGATGACAATGAAAGCCAGATTCATAATTGGCCAAGCCCTGTCCCTGACTACCATCTGTAAAATGAGGGCTGGAGGAGCAGCTCGAACTTCTACAATAATGAGCCTCACACAGCAGAAAACATCAATTATTTTGTATTGAGTAACCCAACAGCCACTATGCTTTTGTTTTGAAATACTTCAACATAAATGCCTTTTAAATTGTTCAGGATACTGTAGATCCCCATTGGTTTTGAAGTGGTCCAATGTCAACAAATAATCTGTGGCACAGCAAGGATTTACGAGTGTTTGCTGACAGTAAAGGGATGACCCTTGTCAAAACGGGAACTCTGGGAATGTCTGAGAGGTCAATGTGGAGTTCCCTCTGTCAGGCTGCTTTGAATAAACACATTTTTCTACCCACTCAACAGCTGGAATGCGTGTTTCTCAGAGCTGACTACGTGCATTCCTGACTTGCTCCGTGCACACCCTCCGTCAGGACTATAGATAAACCTCGTACAGTAGATCCCTTTGGAGAAATTCTATCACTTTACTGCATTCGCCAGGAGCACCTGTTGCACCTCGCACTTCAACACATCCCAAATGTGAACGCTGCTGCCTCCACCGAGCATCGCTGCCCTCCCTGCATCCTCGCCAAAGACAAGCAACTTCTGCACATTTCACCAATTCATTTCCATGTGTTTCTAGAACTGAATTCAACCAGAGAGGAGGTGGGAAACACGTTTTATATCAGGTGTGGTGAGATCAGACCTCGTCAGTATTTCTGCATTGAAATATATCTAACTGAATGATGAGCCTGCTCAAGTTTCGCATAATGTTCACTATCTATAAAGATGGACGACATGACAGCTCCTCAAAAAAGAAGCCAAAGCGTCTCGATCAGCCCCACCTCCCTAGATGAAGAGACCCTGCGTCCTCCATGTTAGTGGGTGAGACGTAGACCAAACTAAAAAGTACATGTCAATTCAAATGTTCTCATCACACTGATGTTTGTTCATTTTTCCAAAGAGCTTGTCTTCAATTAGTTATTTGATGCTATAAAAAAGGAAGGAAACATCATGATTAATGGCTGAGACTTGGTCGAGCACGTGTATTAGTGGGACATCACTACCGTGGCTCCATCCCAGATACTGCACAGACTTCCTCTACTGCACTAGAGAACCAATCATTATGAGTCAGCATCCGGGGACCATGAATGCAGGTTCAAAACTTCTTGTCAATCCCTCCAATATTTTAGCATGGACCAAAGTAGTGAGCCAAATAACTGACACCTACACATCCACAAAGTCCTACAGCCAGCATAGATAAACACCATAGACTCCCAGCTGAATACACTAACCTGTGAAGTAGACATCATACTCATATCCGCCATGGTGTCAGTGCAGTATTCAGTAATTAGAGGAAGTTTACAAGCTTTTTATTTTTGTTCCGGAACGGAAAGACAATGGCACTTCCTATCCAACGGTGCATCCTGTGAATTTTTGTCGTCACTTTGCGATGACTAACAGAGACGGTGGTTTTTTAATATCAGTGAACACAGAAATAACATCTTGTAAATGTACTCAAGATGTTGGACAGAACATGGTGCTGGTCATGACCAAACATGGACAAGCATGAGTCTGTTGTTGACAGGTAGAGTTCACATACTTCAGCACCTTGCCTTGATGGTCACTTGCATAACAGCTCGCCATGGGTTCACCAGTTTCATGGGCGGTGGTGGGGGGGGGCAGTGGCAGCTGTGGGCCCACACTTCCTACTGTATGTCATCATCATGTCATCAATCACTTGTTAAGACTGGTACAGTTGTCAGTGAATGCCTCACATCTCAAGCACAGGGTTGTCCTACAGATAGGTTTACCAAATGCTCTGCATCAGCGGTGGAAAGAAACAGTGAGTACAACCGTGTGGGGTCCTGTGACATTAGAATTTGTCAACAGTGGGCGGCTGATATGACAAATAGACTTTCCTCTCGGCCTAACAGTTCTAAAGAGCACAGGACATTTAAATACCCCACATCGATCAGTGTCTGGCCCCATTCATCGAATTTCCCCACTCTCCTGAGAGGAAGATTGAGCAACAGTTCCACTGTGGAGAGGTCTGAACCCATGAGGCCAACACAAACTGTGGGCGAACTCAAAGCTCACTATAAAGCTGTCTAAACATCAACCAAGAGCTACGAGCGAAAAACTCCAGCTGAATTCGTAATCAAATTCTCAGATGTGTCCTGTGTCTGAAAAAAAAAGGTTTGTGGTTTCAGTCACAAACATCTGCAGCGTTAAAAACCACAGTAGATGTGAGTTTCTGCTTCTCACAATGGTGAAGCTGAACATGTAGAAACCTCAGCTCACAGTTCTCTTTTCAAGCAACAAGTTTCAGCTCAGCCACAACTCGCTGATGATGTTTTGAGTTCTGAGCAGCGATTCACCTTAGAATAGCACTCAGTAGAGTACATACCAATTAGTATCAATAAATATTTTCTATCAATTTTTGTTTCATCTTTAAAGCACACTGAGTCTGCCTCTGTAAAAAAATTACTGTATAAATTACAATTGATATCGCCACCAAGGCCCAACACTGCTCTCATGAAACCACATTTAAATTTCTTAATCAAATCTGCACCAAATTTAACACACTCATAAATATTAGTCTCACAAATGTGCTGGATTTTATTCATTAAGATTCATGAATTCTTACCTGGGAAAATGGTGAAAATGTTATTTATAAAAGTGAAGAAAATAGTCTAGACCACCCCCTGACCCAGATGAACACCAAAGTTAATTGGGTTCTGCCCACCCACCTGTTCTGCCTAGTTCCACCAAACAACCAACAAATGGTCTGGGGTGAAAACATGACCTCCTTGGTGGAGGTAAAAATGTATAAATACTGTATACGTTATAACAATAGTAGCTTAATTAACGTTCAAAAAAATTAACCACTAATGCTTTATAGGTCAATTAAAACTTGTTTCAGTTGCCAGGTTATGAACGTGATGAATATTTGTCTTTAATTAATCAGGAAGCTACAATGTTAGAAAATCATCTGCAATTATGAATCACAATTTGTCATTAATTTGTTCTTAAGTTATTAAAAAGTGCATTTAGCCACTCTGCAGTAATTGGTCAACATGTAATTTGACTTGAAAACCCAAAACTGCCTTACATCTTATCAGTAAAGCATTTATGAATTCTTATGAATAAAATCCCCATTTGCACCCTGTGACCCCTGAGTAATGAATGCCTTATTGTGAAGTCTAACCCAGATAAATCCAGTAAATACCTGCTTTTCAAGTGCATATGCATTTGAATGTTTCATAGGTAAACAAATGATGAAATGTGTAGAATCTCAATGTAGAAAACAATCAAAGTGCTGGACATAAGATCTTTCCTGAAATGCAGCTGAAGCATTTCCAGAGCAGATCTTGGTTTGTGCTGTCAGGGTGTGTCAGAGAGTCAGCGGCCAGCAGACACTGGAGCGCAGTGTGTATTTTGACAGGTAGCGAAAGGTCACAGGTCGGACGCTTTCTCCTCACACCCTCTCCATCTGTTAACAAGTGGTGCGTATGCCCGAGCTGTCCGTCCGTGCAAAACGACTCTGCAGCTTCCTCAGGCCACGCTGCACTCTGCCAACTTCCTTTAATTTATTTCCCCATTAGACGCTGTTTCCTTGATGTGTGCTCTGAATTAAAACCCCTCCTTAACATTTAAACTTCAACACATTGGATCCACCACCGCCCAGAATCAGCTTTGGCAAAAATCATATATTTCTTTCTCTTTCCTGGACTGAACTGAGTGTTCACTTTTCAGACTTTATCTCTGGCTGTAAACTTCCACCTAGTTTTGACACAGTGACACTCCCCAAGTCAAGCTTAAACAAGCCAGCTGTTTGCATACATAGAGGCAAGCAGAGGAGTCCCCACTCTGACTCACACAAAGTTTCTTAAGCACTGGAAATAAACATTTTCTGCTGTACTCACCTTCCGAGTTCCTCCCCAATTTCATAGAAATCATCCACATTCTGTTCCTTGAAAACCGCCATGCCAGGTGTCTTCATTGATGTGCTTTATCTGATGGGGTCTGTCTGTCCAGCCTGTCTTTTCTCCCCGAGTCCAACCCTGTGGATATAAAACAGCAGCTCACTTTGATTTCTAACAGGAGAAAAGAAAATCTTTACGACGTGTTGCAGCTTGCTGTGGAGCATTCCATCTCAGAGCTGTACGTACTTTCACCTTCCTGTTCAGAAAGTCCTAACAACACTATAACTTAACCAGCGAAGAAAATGAGAAAGTGCGCTTGGTTTGTCTTTAATTTGTCTAAATACTGATTTACTGGCTTAAAATATAACTGTGCCAAGCTGATCCATGTAACACAGTTTTGTTCTTGTGATTATAACAGGATTACAAATTAAAAGATAAGAGCATTTGGGGTATTGAGGGCAGGGTATCTATTGTGAAACATTGTGTCTGACACAGGCCACAGCATACTCTTTGTATTTCCATTGTTCCCTCTATGAGTAAGAATGAATGAAATAAATAATGAAGTAGAAATAAAAGGCAATCTCATCCTTTATGAAAGCTGAACTAGAACAAACTTCCCATATGTTAAGCTTCATGTCAAACATTAATCCGAGCAGCAGCTACATCTTACCTCAGTGTTAAAGCTTGTCTGGTGCAGAGCTGCTGATGAACTCACATCTGTTCCCACGTCTCCAGCAGCTGCTCTGCTCTCCTCATGAAACTGGCTCCTTCACCGTCTCTGTTGTTTTCTGTCACTTGTGGCTGCACCATCAGGCTTTTGAGTCTGCACAAGTCCCTCCCCCTGATGTCTCCACTATGAAACTGAAGCATGAGAGAGACAGGCTATGAATAAAGATGACTGGCATGTCTGCTGTTTGGTCTGAAGTGAGGATTACTGAAGCGTTCCCTATAAACACCTACAGAGGGGACGACAAACTCAGTCAGACTTTTTTTTTATTGAATGTGTGCTACGAAAACATACAGTGGTGTATGCTCACTTCTGTGACATGAAAGCTTTGCTCTTTATACTGAGTAAAAATGAACACGGTAATGAAGACATGTAACCATCAAAACGATTAAGTGCACAATAATATTCTGACCCTTTAAATGCTGTGAAAATAAAAAGAGGACAAAAAGAAAAACCGAAGAGAGGGTAGCTTTACATGTAGCTTATTCAATGTGAAAATAAAATCAAAAAACATGATAAATGTAATTAACTAGCTTCAGAACAAGTGGCTGTGCATTGAAATATAAGTGAACATTGACATTAGGAGTGAAAGTTCAGAAAAAATAAATTTCTTGAGCTTAAACCATACAAGCATGAATATTGGAATTTCTAGAGAGACCTGCTCTCATGAGGATCATTTAATTTGACCTTCTAAAGTCTTTTCAATCTACATTTCTCATTGTGACTAGGAGGAGAAAACATGGTCTATTGTGTAACTTATTGCAAAGAAATCCTCCGTAAATAAAAGTAAAAGAATGATAAAAGTTATAAGTTGTAAACAATACATCAGCGGTCAAGGGAAAAGGGTAAGAAAAAGATACGTGGCGAAACCATGTGGATTTCAAACGATAACAAAATGTTGTTTAGGCAAATTAAAACATGGTTCTTTGTGTTTGTAGAAAAGGATTTGACTGTAGTTAGTTGAACAGCATGAATCATAAATCATATGGTCACAGTGCTGTAGAGTAAACTGTCATGTCTTGGTACCTGGGTGTGGAAGAGGGACAGATGTTGCTCCACATGTTTAACAATCTCTATAGATGACAAATCATATTTCCTTTCTCACTGACTTCTCATCCTGAGCTGAAATACAGCAGTGACCGGTACCTGTGGACGAGTGTAAACACTGGACAGACACCAATATTGTACTGCCACACTGTGGACAATGAATGCAGATACATCAGCAAATTAAGATAAAGCTCAGAAATCCCAGCATTGGAAAGAAGTCAGGGTGAAATGTATGAAAAACTCTTTGAACACCCTGAGTTTTGGGGAAAAGTAACAGCACTGAAACCTAATAATGCATTAACAGTAGAACTGTGAGGCACAGATAATCTAAGGGAAATGACTATGCACATGTTTAGAAGAAGTTATGATAAAATAGGCTGTAACAGTTTCACACAAGTGCATATGTAGATGCACATCACTTTGAACTTTAAGACTTTTCTTTGGAATATGTAAATATAAACTCAGTATTTAAGAATAAAGTAATTTGAAAGCATTAAAAATGAAAGAATTCTGCCAAATACAGACAGATAATATAAAATGGACTTATCAATATTATTTTGAATCCAGAGATAAAAAAACATTCCACCTGATAAAACCGGAGTAAGATTTAGTTTTTGATCCAAGGGTTTGATCATAAGGGCTTCACACCACATGGAATGATAAACACCCAACCTTGTGATTTGAAGGCTCTAACACTTACATTTTAAGTTTTCAGCAACATATGAATTTCAGCATCAATAATTCAAGTTCATCAACAGACAAATAGATCAACACAAAAGATGTGTTGTACAGAAACAAAGTGGAAAAAAGGACAAACAATTAAAAGACATTTCAGAGAGGAAATGTGGACAGAGGAAATTTGAGACGTAATGAAAGGAAAAGAAGAGTAAACAATCATTTCTTCAAGGCATAAAAAATCACCAACTTGTCACAAGATCACAGCCATGATTCAAAAAATACTGATTTAGACTGAAGTGAAAGTTTCAACTTGGCATTGGAGGATGAAGGGATAATCAGACAAACACAGTTTTGGCCGTCATGTAAACACACAAGCATTCAGCAAATAGAGTATTTAGGAAAAAAGGCAGGAATACTGATAGTAAGCCACACGGCCTGTAAAGTTTCAGTCCTTTGACTTGATTTCACCCGAACTTTGTATGAAGTTGATTGTTCCAGCATCAATGTGGAGACCAACTCCAACAATTCTTTACAACAGAACCTCCCTTTTACAACAGCGACACATCACTGGTGCGTCGAGGAGGAGGTCTCTTTGTTTTCAGGAAAGGTGCTTCAGCTCCAAGTTAATTATCCTCCTCATCGTCGCTGACGAAGATCCGTCCGTCCTGACTCGACTCCCTCTCCCTGAGGAAGGTCTGTCTGATGGCCTCCAGCTCCGTCAGCTCCAGACGGACTTTCTCCAGGTGGAAGGAGCGGCGGTTCTGGATTTGCCTCATGGGGAACGGGTTCATGTCCCCGAAGGCGATGCTCATCAGCTTCCTGGACATAAACAGAGACGGTGGATAAACAGTTGTGTCAGTCTTGGATGTTTCGTATTGTTGTGCAGACACTGTGCTGTGGATATGTACACCAAAACAAACAGTTAGCAGTGACTGTACCTTGAATCCAGAATTGTTCTTGTGAAGTATCGGAGATATTTGAAGATGGCTGTGGAATCCTGCAACTTCAAAAACTCTTCCTCCTTGTACTTGAAGAGAGCGAGGGCGGAGCGAAATATGATCTGTAGCAGGCAAAGTATCAAAAGCTGTAAATTCTCCACAGTTTGGTTCTGTTGCCAACAAAGGGCCAAAACAAGTTAGTCCAGGTTTACTGTCATATTTATTCATTGTGGTTAAAAGCTGCAATGTAAAAGCCACAGTGCATGAATATATCATTGTTTAAAAGTGTTGTTTTTTTGGTACTTTGCCAATAGTTTACAGTGTTTACCAGAGCTCCTCTAACTGAAAATAGATGTCTGCTGTTGTCGTAAATGAGTTTATATTTAACTTTTAGAAAAAAGCTAAAAAAAAGGGCTAAAGCACTCGATCCATTGTTAATAAATAAAGATGAGATAAGACAAAATTAACTAGAGGTCTGGAGTTATTCAAACTCACACAAAAAACACAAATCCCAGAAATCAAAACATCCCAGAGGATCAGAGTTTAACTTTCTCTTTTGCCTCTTACCTTTGGACCTTCGTACAGAAAGGCATCCCAGATCTTGAAGAGGATGTCGCTCACCACGCTGTCCACGAACACCACCAGGAACCAGTTGAAGGTGATGAGGGAGAAGTCGACCTTGTGCTGCTCAAAGTGGGTGTGAAGCCGCGGCAGCTTCTCCCACATCAGGTCCTTGAACACGCGCTGATCAACCTGCAAAGACAAAACCAAGACACAGAGAAGATTATTTTCACAGCAGGAGGAAAAACTTGAGAAAAAAAAGACCAGCAGACAGAAAGACTGATCTCCGCACTGCATTCCTGCTCTGGCAAGTCATGAGCAGCAGGCTCGGTCACATGAACATGACATCACAAGAAAAAAAACACTCCTGAGGAAGCAGCAACTTGTCCCATGTTCTCCAGTATCACAGTATATAATTAGAGCTTGTTTACCTGTGAGCCAAGCAGAGTCTTGGTATAATAGTCTCTCGGCATGAACACTTCCACAATAGCTATAAGGCTCCAGAAGGCGTCTTCTTGTTCCAAATAGAGCAAGGCAATGGCAGCCAGCCTGAGGAAATACATGCAATAAAAATGAATGGTTGGCATGGGAGGACAGAGGGAAGTGGAGAAAAACCAAATCCCCTCCAGTACCTGTTCAGCCCCTGACAGTAGCCAATATCTGGGTTCCTCCAGGAGAACGCCATCAAGACGTTCCTGAGTTTCTGGATGCCGCCCGCACTCGGAGAGGAGTAGTGCTTGTTGTTGGGCAAAGTACGCAGCAGGTCCAGCTCGATCTGCTTCGAGGCTGGGTTGGGCTTGTCCCTGGCTACATTCAGTAATGTCTCATAATAGTCAGGCGCCAAATGGTCCCGAAACTTCTTAACGTGGAAGGAGACACACCAGCGCCACACCTGGGACCGGTGCTCGTGCGGCACACCGCAGCGAATCAGGGCTTTGAGCTCAGGGGAGCGCACCAGGTCTCTGTTCATGGTGCTGGCCAGGTAGTTCTCCCACTTCACTCCTACAGACACCTCCTGGTTCGTCATGGACAGCGACTTCAGCTCCAAGGCTCTCACCTTCGCAACCAGCTTCTCCTCCTCCTCCTCTTCCTCAGGCACCGTCTTGAAGCCAAACACGTCGTACTCACTGAGGTTGATTCAATATACAGAGACAAAGCAGAAAAGTGTCAAGAATCAGTGACGCTCACTGGAGTGTGCAGTACCTGTTGTGAACCTGCATGTTTAGAATGGGCTGCTTTCTTCAGAATTATTCTTTGACATAAGTGAGTCCTCCTCAAACAGTTCTACAATTTACTGTCCCTTTTTTATTGTTTGTGTGCTGGATGTTGTGTGCATAACTTTTTATAAAATGGTGCAGAGTGAAGTTAGAAAACTTATTTGCAGCGAAGATTTTATCATCACTGTTTTTCATAAAATGAACCTGAATTTGCTGTATTCCTGTTCACACGTGTGGCTTATATATAAGTTTGAATGATTTACTTAACTGGTGTTATTTTTTCATCCATTACATGTCGGCTTATTCAGAGTCTGTTAAACAATTGCCGCAATCTTCGGATCCAAGTTGACAACTTTTCCAAATAATCTGTAATTCAGCTCGATATAAAGCATTACAGCCACAAAACGTTTTTGCTTTTACTCCAAAGACAAATTGCCAAACAGGAAGTGATTCTGCAAATGTTGTTGCCATGACGAAGCTTTGCACCTGTCACTGGTCAGATATGTGTTGTAGTTTATCCGAGGACATAGAAGAAGGTTCAACTTGGTCCGTGGACTGACTATTAGCACACTGCCCCGCCCCCACCTACTGCTACAAAGTGCTGGTCGTCTATCTAACTTTTTATTAAACAGAAAGAGGCTCAGAGATCATTAAATATATCAGTACACTCACTCATTAGAGCCTGTTTTTCTGGTTTATTAAATAGGTGCCTGTAAATAAAAGTAAACAGGTCTGGTGACTCTTATACAACTGTGTCTGTAAAGTCTAAAGAGATAATATCAGTGCTTCCTCTCTTGAAACTCATTTTTGTCACACATACATGCATGTCCAGGAACTGACACATTTGCTGCTAATGTTTCTTAGTATTTCATGTCCATACCTGACAGTGCTTGGTTTGAAGATGGGGTGCTCTTGCTGATCGGAGCCTTCTACCTGCAGTGCATCCTCTAACAATCTGGAAATGACGTCACAGGCAGGGTTCTGCTCTGATGATGAACACACTGGGGTCTTCACTTCTTGAAGCAGCACCAGATATTTACTCTCCACCTGACACAACTTGGCCTCCAGGGCCGTATACTGCAGGAAAGGAAAAAAGCAGAGGATTACAATATATTTTCTGATAATTTTTTCTTGTTTTGCATTTGAAGGATTAGGGGGCACCAGCCAAGTTCAACACTGGAATTCCCCTACTAGTTACTCAGACTTCCTGTTTCTATTAACAGGAAAATGCACTATTAACCACCCAACACAAGACAGTACCTTTGCTTCTAAAGCTTTTTCTCTGCTCTCTGCATTTCTGCGTAACACTGTCAGCTCCAGGATCTCTTTGTTCAGGAACTTGTTCTGGGATTTGTAGCCTTGAAGACTGTCCTGAAAATAAAAAACACATAGTTTGTCAGGTTAAACAGTGAGAACTTAATCACAAAATAATTTTGGATCATAAACTAAAGCTAAAGAAGCTTTTCCTGGACTACCAATCAATTCCCTCCGAATCAGTGAGTAAAATCAGCAGCTTCATTGTCTCTCTCTAAAAATCGCTTTTCCACTGCACCTTCAAGATGTCCAGCTCCTGCTTCTCTTTGTTTGGAGACAGTGAACTGGCGTCATTTGGATTTCCACTGTTCTCAGGGCTCTCCTGCGAAAGCTTCATGATGACTTCATCCTTAGCCTGGATGGTCTCCATCATCATCCCCAGCTGCTCATTCATCTCTCCTACTTTAATTTTCAAGCCTTTCAGCTCCTGTTGTAGGCTCTCCTTCTCCAAGGCGAGACGCTCCATGTGGCCACACAGGTCCTGGATCTGTCCGTCTCTTTCCTGAAGCAGGTTCTCCAGCTGGGCGATTTCTTCCTGGGTTGCTACTGAGTCCTGGGTCTGGAGCGAGGCTGTGGACGGATCAGGAGCCGGGGCTGGACAGCGCACTGTTGGCCTGTCACTCTGAGATGTCCTGAGAGTCTGCTGCAGAAGTCTAACCAGCTCCTGGTTCATAAAGACAAATTAAATGTGTCAACACGTCGACCTGTAGGGTCACAATGATGTTTTGAAATGAAGTTGCATGGTTCAACGGAAAGCATGCATTTGATGTCATAATATTACAAGAATAAAGTCGTAACAATATGAGAATAAACTATTTAGGAGAAAACCGCCCAGAACACCCCTAATTGCCGGAGTTCCACTCTTTCTAGATCAAAACTCTTAGTTACCAATCTCAACGTTTGTTGAGAAACTACGAGACCCCTTTGAATATCACTCAGATGTAACTAACAATAACATCACAGTCGACCACAAACAAAAATGGTCCCAAGTCTGTGTGATTCGTTCTTCAGAGCAGATAAAATCTTTTCAAAGTCCTGTTACTTATGATAATGTGGCACTGATGTGACAGAAGATGAAGTATTTTGTTATTTGTGAAACGTATATTATAGCGTGCTCCACATTCCTCATTTTACCACAGACAACAGGCTAATCTTCTAATATTACTCCTTTAAAATGACACTTTACCCAAAATAATAACTTAATAATAGATAACAAACTTAATTTTCTTAACATTGTGATTTTCCTTGTAATGTTACATATTTATATTCAGAAAATTAAGACTTAATTTTCACAAACATTACTACTTCTTTTAATATTACAACTCTATTTTTGTAAGGTGACCCCAGTACTCCATCATAACATTTACTAAGGACAATATTTGAATTACATTTAATATTTTCTTTTTACTCGAATCATTTCTGGGAACAGAGTTACTAAGCTTACTACATATTAAGGGTAAATATCGGCTGGAGTGGTATCATAATATGTAAAGTCCTACAATTTGATTGATGATCTATGACTAATAACTAATAAGTTGTATTCTAAATTCATCGCCACAATCTTGCAGCTTGTTACTGAAGCTGACAACAAAATGCAGGGCACAGGGAAGTAAATCGAAAAATGTATTGAATAAAAAAAATGTTGTCGATGCACAGGATCTGGAGTCAGGCTGACCAGAGAAACATGTGACGTTTATCCACCACATAACTGCCTCATTCACTTCAATAACAGAGGTGTAACATCCTCAAACATGCTGCACTGAGAAAATGTGGCTAGTATGCTTCCACAAACACACCCACACGCTCTCACACATATGCAAACACAATCATTTTCACATGCAACAAAAAGTTTTCTGTAGCAACTACTTTCTAACGAAGGTAGAAAATGCTGAAAACTGTCCACAGCATATCGCGTTTGCAAATGTAAAAATCACACACCATTAGCTCTGTAATCAAGGGGCATTATTATCTTTCTATGCAGTGATATTAACCTAAATCACCCTTTCATATATTGATATAAATCAATATATAAATCAATGGTATTAACAATACAGAGTCAGCCTCAGTCCACTTAAACCTGAGTGTATTTCCAATTACACAGAGACAACAACCAGTCGTCTCCAGAGTCACTCAGAGTTAGTTGGTAAATTCCTGCCTAAGTTGGAGCTGCTGATGCTTAACAACCTCCAAACTGAGGCACACACCCGCACACACACAGACCCGCACACACACACACACAAGCTAGTCTCTAAACACTAAAAACGAGAACAGGGAGCAGCACACCGGTGACTGTTTTGAGGAGAACTGTTGCTCCATCAGTTCTTGAATCAGCATGACTTTACAGTCTTCCTGTGTCAGTGAGAACATCGGAACTACCCCAAAGCTCTAAGACACCTCAGGCTTCAGTCAAATTTACTGAAATACTATTTAAATCACTCAAGTCAGTTTGGTAATTCCCCTGAAGTGGATGATTCTAACAATATGAAGTGAAGACATAGTTTGTCTATAAATTTGATAAATATATCACTGTGAAAACATCCTTACTCTTGTTGAGGGTTAAGGGCAGAGGATGTCACACCTTGTTAAAGCCTTAATATGGGCTATACAAATAAAATTGTATTGATTGATTGAAAACCAATGAATCCGTGCTACAATCACTTAGAGATGACTAAAATGTTGGACAGAAGAGCCTCAATGGAAAAATGAACTCTTGATGTTTAGTGATAAGAACTGCTTAAATAACAGAAACCATCTTGAAAAATGAATTTGACGTGTTATTGGATTTTGAGTTTGGTCTGTCTCCCATCCACAAACCTAGTGCAGGTGGGGGTTTATGATCTAAACTGCATCCAGCCACCAGGGGGCGATCAAGATGACTTGGCTTCACTTTTGGGAAACAGTCAATGGCAACATGTTGAAACAAAGCAATTCGAATTTTGACAGAAGTTTTGTGTATTGAGTTACCAGCTAACCTAGTAGTGTTAGCATGCTAAAAAAATCCTCATTGGCATTAAAAATGAAGTAGAGTTAGGCAAATGGGATTATTATTCATTTGATGGGTATTTCCTTGAACTGAAGTGATGGATGAAATGATAATGGTGCTAAGTGAAAAGTTAAAGGACCACAAAATTCTTCATGCCGAGACAGGGACAGGAAAGTGCAGACCAGATTCAACAGCATTATTTATCACACTCCATTTTGAAATACTATTACATTAGGAGGAATAACGACAGTGTGTACCTTCTGACTGGTGAGCTCTTCTTGGAGTTTGGCCTGTTCCTGCTGCATGCGAGTCAGTTCTTCCTGTTGGTTCTGGAGGCGAAGCTGCATCTCCAAAGGTTTGCTGTCGTTACACTCCACTGGCGAGCTCTCAGCACTGCGCCCAAACCTCCCAGAGGCCATCATGTCCCGAAGCAGCGGCTTCCTGGGCCGTGCCGAATTTCGCACAAAGTCAAACGTAAATGCAGATCCAAAGGAATCTGAGGGAAAAGAGAATTTTGTACAGGTTATGAAAGAGACTTCAGGAGCTGGATGCAAAAATTGTCCATTTGTTATGGTTTTGAGCAAATGGGTGAAGCAGCACAACACAAAGAACATTTCTTCTCTGGGGATTGCAGTATTAACATCGTCCAGAAGGCGGGTGTTTAAAGGAAACATGAAGTGGACGTACGTCTGTGTGTGTCTGGATGAGGTTTCTGTTCAATGAAGTCCTTGGGCGGGGCGTCCACCAGCTCCCACTCCTCTGTGCTGTTGTTACCACTGTAAAACACACTGCGCCTGTTCTCAGCTCCCTTGCCCTGCCGCAGATAAGACATGGAGTTCCTGAAAGAACAGAAACCAGACAGGGGGGTGAGTAAGACCAAGAGTGGAGCTATAGTGACTGCTACTTTGTACGAGCCTTTCAACTCATCAGACATCACGGACAAAGTGCAGGGAACAAAAAGTTCTACTCATTTGTGAATGGTAACATAAGCACAATGAAAAACCCTTTGTTAATCTATTACGAGTGTTGCCATAAAATCCTGCTGCTGCCAACATCTTTTTTATATTAAATACTAATCAATAATATCATCACACTGGAACAGATGGGAAGTTATGAATAGTTATAAAAGCATTCTTTAAAGTAAAAACAGTTGTGAAAGGCCACGACAAGTGTGAGACTCAAGTTGTCACCTGACCTCACACCACGTCCAACGTGTCTCAACTGACGCACCCACCAAACAAACTGTCAAACATAAAGGACACAGTTTTAATGAGTGTAGCTGCCTTAAGAGCCCACAAAATGAATCGCTATATATCATCGTTGAAGGTAGAACAGACTGGTATGGAGCGGGGTTATGAGGAGTGAACAGCATCGCAGCTGAGTTGCTCCAAGTTTCCTGCGCACCTCAACAAGTGAACTCTCTTTCCATCAGGGTTACAGAGCAAATTCCAATCCACATTTAGCATTTTTAGCATTTCAGTGTGTTGCATCATTTGAATGGAGGTGTTGTGTGGTACCAGACAGGGAACTGTTGATGGCTCAATACTGGAGCAACTTGTGTGCTGGATTTAACAATTTCCTCTCCTGCTGAGAACTTGTTTCCTCACCACAGCTCTCTTAAGACACACACTGCGAACTAACTGCACCTGTTTAGCAGGGACTCGAAACAAAGACTTGAAAATGTGTTTCCTTTTTAGAAACTGTATGTACGATCTAACTGAGCCTCACCTGAGTTCTGTACCAATGTTTCTGAGAGCGAAGTTGAGAGGGTTCGTGGAGACTCCTCTGGCCGTCTGAATCCCCACCATTGACCCGCCCTCTGTCTCCGTCTCCATGGCAAAGTCGCTGCGGACCTTCTCCATGCTGTCGCTCAGCTTCTCAAAGACGAAACCATCTAAAGTGCAACACAGGGACGATGAGAATATCATCAGCACTCACCTCACCACTACTCTTTCTTAGGGTCTTGCATTTATCTTATTATTTTTAGATGAAATGACACAAAAAGATTCCAAAATAAAGCAAAAGAATATTTGGAGTTACCCAGAAAGCTATTTACATCAGGATGCATGCCTGTGGGTTCATGAGCAGCTCTCTAACCATCACTGTGTAGCATTTTTAAGTCCAGTATGCTAAATATACATTTTCATCTTTGTATGAAATTAACTAGGAAAGTGTGGGAAGGATGTATAAAGGGAAAAGTGTTTTTTCACATGATCTACAAATGTGTACAATGATTTGTATGTGTTGTATGGACTTGTGTGTTTGTAATTATAGTAATTTGAACACATGTAAAATCCTTTTACAAATGCACACTTCCAAACCTGAATACATTTTTACCTAACTTCACAGATCAGATAATGTTTCGCTTTCAAAAAACTTTCTGTTTACACAAATGTCTAAAGATAGATGTCCTCCTGATATCCTCCTAAAAACACGGTGTAAATGACACAGTTTCGAGTCGAATTGGAATGTCGAGGTTTACGGACACTTAGATGACACAACACAAGCTTTTTTTCTCTTTTGTTTTTTCACGTTTGAAGTGGTTTTGTGGACTAAAACACTTCACCCACCCCTCCATTGGCATAGTGGAGAGTGGAAAATTTGTGCATTTTCATGTTTAAAGACATTATTCTGGATACTAATAATAGACACTCGTGTGAACAGCATGTTCTGATGTTATCCTGAATAAACCTGATCGAATTAAGACATGTGGAGTATTATGATCTAGGATAATAACGTCCTGCTGGAGTATTCACAGCATTGTGCGACATCAACTTTCTCTGCCTTGCCTCCAAGTATAAAATCTGCAGAAACTCAATGTGAGAACACAGCAGGGGATCCTCCGCAGGATTCCCCCGGAGCAAGTGGGTGTGTTGATGGCGTTTCTAACATGCGACAGATGCATAAATTTAAGACAAAAAGAAAACAAATGTCTCCAGATAAAAACACAGTGCCATAGACGTAGGCAGCAGAGTTCATACATTACGTTCTGTCTCTGTTTGCTGCACCACCCCTCACTAGAACACGCTGGAGGATTTGTTTCTGTTGTGAGCGCATCTGAGCTGCTTGTTCATGTGTGAAAGAATTCTCCAGAGTTCCTCTGGAGGCTTAAGATACTTAATTATTTGAATGCATTAAGATTTAAACACACACTAGATTAAAAAATTAATGTGAACTCTTTTCTTCACCCCTTTGTTGATCTCTCCTTTAATCAATGCTCGATACAACCACTCCAACATGCTCTTACTGTTAAAACTTGGGAACCTGGCAACAAAAGAACTCGACTGGTGTTTGCAGCAGTTGTGTCAACATTAACCCATCAGATACCGGTGTTTACTTTCAGCGATTCCCTGGACATGATGAAACAGAGCTGTGACGCTCGTATTGTGTCCATAAAGTACATTCACACTGTGTGTACCTGTGTGTGTCTGCCTACCATTGTCTTTGCCTACAAGGCCAGTGGCAGGGTAGGCCAAGGTCGGGGAGCTCCAGCTGTCTCTCTGACCTGAGCTCCGAGTGTTGCTGTACTCCCACCGTTTCTGCTGCAACTGCTGGAGCCAGAAGTGCATCACCTGCCTGCTGGGGGCCTGGAAGCACAAACACAAAAACACAAATAAGCTGCTTTCCGACATGACCTGTGGATAAAGTCAGGAGAATTCGTTCTGCACTTTACTTGCTGTTTTTTTTTTTCACACATGCACCTCCTCTGGAGAAAGTGCAGATATTCTCCGGAGGAGGTGCATTTCTGAAAGCACAAAAGTTAATTCACTTGTATGGATAAAAAAACAAGCACCATAAGTTTCAGGTGTTTGCCCAGTAGGCGTTTTGAGTCCAAAGGTTAAACAACAACAAACACATCAATAGTAATGGAATGAACCCCAGTCTGGATGCAAGATAACAGCTGTGGAGTCCAATGAAACATATGAAACACTTTAAATATCAGGTTACTATAAAGATCTGTCATGTGAACCAGCGCAGATGCTGGTTTCAGTCTCTGTTCCTGCCTCGGGCCATGCAGGCGGGCCTGGTGTTAACCATTCACTCCATCTGCTTCAGTATGAGCAGCAGCCAGGCTGAGTGAGACCAGAGGGCCTGGTTTGGCACTGACCCCGGTCACAAGTCACATGACAGCAGAACAGGGGGGGGGGGGCATCACATTAGACACGTTTATATATACAGTCTATGGATGTGACACTCTTACTAAGCAGAGGTGACATGGATGAGCTCATGTGCAACTCGATTAATGTGTAAAAGTAAACAGACAGATCTGGGAAGACATGACTCATGCAGACTTTCTTCACGGTGACTAAACGACGCGCATGTATGAGACTACACGACTGTGTCCAGTGTGAATGGGTGTGTCTGGCTCTTCACTCTCAGAGGAGGAAGTGACAGATCCCAGCAGCAGAGACTCAGCGCTGCCGGGGGCCATCAACACCTTCGGCACGTACCTTCAGGAGGAACTCCTTCCCGGCGGTGCGGACCTCAAACTGACCCTCTTCCCCCTCCACGTCGTAGCAGAAACACGCGTCGCCCACCTCGATGTGTCCGAGCGGCAGCGCGTCCTGCGGAGTCTTGAAGTAGTACAAGTAACACTTCCTCGGGTCGTACACGAACCACCTCGGCTTGTAGCCCCTCAGTGGCCCCTTGCCGGACAGTTTGTTCAGGTAGCCGCACAGCCTGGAGGCCTGCTCCTTCGAGCCCTCCACCTCGGCCACATCCACGGACCTGACGGCCACGATCCGCGGGGCCGCGCTGGGTCTCGCGTCGCTGCCATCCTCCTCTTCGTGCATCTTTCCCCAACTTTCCTCTTCTTCTTCTTCTTCGTGTTCTCTGTGCAGCGGCGCAGCGGCGGATGCCCACTGCTGCTTCCCTCCGCATGACTGTCTGCCACCTGCCCCGGGGCAGCACGGGAAATGTAGTTCACTTCAAAGTGTAGTTCATGTGTGAGGCAGGAGCACCGCTGGGTGGTGCTGTTTCACAAGGTGAGCAGCAGCATGACTTTCTGCTAATAACACTCAATAAAAATAAAATGACATTTTACATAAAAATATAAAAAAAGAAGTTAAGATATAATTACATTTTTGTAAAATATTTTAACTATAACTTGTGTATTTTAATTATAACTATAAGTAAAATCAAATATAAACCAGAAGCTCTCAGTATAGGGCATACCTGTGCTGAGGCCAAAGTCCCCCTATGAATTCACTAGATCCAGATTATTACTTGCACCACACCAAGGTTATTATAGTTTTGAAATTTTCATTAGTTTTTATTTTTATTTAGTTTTTCAGTTTGCTTTTTTATTTCAGTTTATTTTTAGTTAGTTCAACAAGTGATTTTGTAGTTTTAGTTTAGTTTTTATGTTGAGGAATCGACTAGTTTCAGTTTAGTTTTTATTTAGTTTTAGTCTTGGTTCTAGTTTTTCCAGGTATTACGAGAAAGCCTTGACTTGTAGAAGCTGAAAAAGGATGAAACAATGTGTGACACCAAATATGGTTTATCAAGTCCTTTAATTTCATTCTTTAACCATCACCTGCAGGACAGACAGTGATCCAGGGGGAAAACGAAACGAAAACGAAGCTGAATTTATCTGCAATTCAATTTAGTTTTATTTAGTTTCGCATTGTTCATTGTAGTTTTTATTTCGTTTTGGTTTTTTTTGTAATTGTCGTTTTTATTTTTATTTCAGTTAACTAAATTATTTTTTCATTGCTAGTTTTAGTTTTAGTCTTAGTTTTCGTTAACTATAATAACCCTGCACACCACACACACTCATAAATATCAGTCCCCCAAACATGCCTGTTTTGTGTTTTCATGAAGATCCATGAGTTATTCCCTGAGAAATCAAGGAAAATGTTGAAAAGGCCGGATCTCTATCTATGTTAAAGAAAGTGAAAGAAAATTCCTGGATCTGCCCCCGGATCTAGATCCACACTAAAATATGTTTTTCCTTGAGTATTTTGTGTGTAATCCTACTAATAAACAAACGCAGACCAAAACACGACCTCCTTGGCAGAGGTAATAATACACATAATACACAAAAAGTTTAAAAAAATGAAAAAGGATAAAATACATTTTGATGCTAGGGAATAACTGAAAGTGAAATAAAATATAAAATATTTATATGAGAATATTTAACTTGTTACCTGCTCTGACAGTTGAATCCAGCGTTTCGTCTGAAATCCCTGCTCAGTGCTACAAGGCTTCTGCAGGCTGAGAGAAAAGTATCACTAATGTTAAAATGTTATTGGGCTGAAAGACGGCGGTTTTTAACGGTTTAATGATATGAGATCTAACATCCTCAACACTTTGTAGAGTTACTGCACATTCTCTGTGATCAAGTCTCAAACTGTAAAGTTACCCTGTAATTATACAGCTATATATAATAGTAAAATGAACCATGTATGATACTGGATGAAGATGTTCAAGATGCTTTATGGATGCACTCTTGTTATAACATGATGCATGTGGGAATGAATAGTGATGGGTGATCTATGCTTGGAAGTGCACCTATACATTTTCTCCGTGCAAACTCTTTTATATAACTGCAATGCAATGAAACCCAACAAACCACCTGAGATACTTGTGCAAAAGTGTTTTATTCAAGTTGCATTATTATTGTTTGTGATGCTAGTTTTACCCAAACGTTAAAAGGAAGGTGTAAGAAAAACTGATGTGATGCTGTTCTACTGACATTTAACAGGCGTCAACAGACTTGTGACCTTTTAAAGACCCACATCCTCCTCTTGGGTATGTTGCCACAATACTTTAAAAATATCTCAAACAACCTTCTGCCTGGCAACTGTCTGATGAAACAAATCTGCCTCCTTTTTCTACATTTATCAGAAAAATATACTGTACTGTATTGCTACTGTCTTTATTCCTTGTTGTTAACAATTCATTCTTTGCACATTTACATAGTATGCACAAATCATGATTCTATGGTAATGGACTTTTTACAAACAGAAGCAGAGAAATAATTTGACCCCAAACCTGTTCACACCCCCAGAGGAGCAGATAGTGACTCACAAAGACATTCAAAACCAGAAGACAGCACAGTTAAGATGATGTTGAAATTCTAGGTCCTGGCGTGTTGCAATACTTAGTCATACAAGGAAAATATGTACTGTATGTCCTAAATGGTGGGGCTGGTATTTGTTTCCTCTTCATGTTATGATAGCATCAATAGGTCTGTGGCCAATGGTAGGGGGGTTTGGAAGTTGCTTTCTTTTTCAAAGTGTAGCCAGCTCTCATTAGCTTTTCCAGGATTACTTTTAATGCTTTAATCAGTTGAATTTACAGACAACAGGTGCAGTGAGTCCTCACACTGAGACATAGGGGAATAAAATCCAGTCTCATCCTGCTCAGTATGACAAAGACTGTTTCTGGTTATTGTCTCTCCCCCACAGGGAGTTCCTATACTGTTCCTCAACTTGGAGCTGGAACTCCTGAAGGTGACTCATGACGACTGTCTCAGCAGTGGAGGGTATGAGTATTTATTAATGACAAGGAAGGCTGGGAAATATCAGATTTTTTAGGGGTTTGGGTTATGACTTCCAATGTCTCTGCAGGTTTTCTCAAATATTTCCACTCCTTCATACCTGCCTTATCAACTAGAACCAGAATTTAGCGTAAACCCAAATGAGGAAACACAAGAGATCATGGTGACACAGCTCAGCTCCCATTACAGTAAATCAGACAGTCTGTGGGTAAAACAACCTCCTCCGGCAAACCAATGCACTCGTATGCACAAACCACATTTTCTGTACAGCTCTTTTTCCGTCTCTCTTCAGGAAGCTCTTATTTGTTTAGCCGCCTCTTTCATGCAAATGAGACGTACAAACTGTTATTGTGTCGTTCCTGAGCGCCACTGCTTTCCGAGTCGGTGGAAAAAAGTATGTAATTTTCTTAATGTCATCTGTCTATATCTCCTCATGTCTGGAGTGAACTCCCTCAGAACACCTTTGATAGCAGATCACAGACTGATGAGAAGTGGAGGGAAGGGTTTTTAATGTTTGCTGACATGACTCCAGGTTCAAACCCCACACTGTCAGCCTCAACTGAAGGTATGAACTCTATCAGAAACGACAGCATCTGAGCTTTAAACAAGAAAGAATCCGTGTTAATTTCTATTCTTTTCCCAGGGTTTGAGAAGTGCCCACTGTACGAGAACCAAAAACCGAGATTGGAAAAGATCTTTTCAGAGTCGAAGGATCGGAAAAATCCAAAATCACCATCCTTTAGGAACTGTCTGAATTGTTTCTTCAAGGTAAGAACTTTGCTTTAATGAAGACTCACTTATCTCATCTAAAGAAGATTTTAAATAACTTTAATTTTACGATTTTATTTTTTTGTCATTTAATTTTAGATAGATAGTCTTTGAATGACTAGGGAATACAGCATTATTTTTAAAGTCAGAAAGTTCTTTGTGGATTCCGCATAGATTTTGTAGACCATTGGATTTAAATTATTGTATATTGTGATTAAACTGTTAATATTACAAGGTATAAAAAAAACATGTGAGAAACAGTAAACAGTTTTTCCAGTAGCAATGAGGTGAACAGTGAGCTGCTTTGAATTTCTGTTTGACATGTCCTGGAAAATAAACAAATGAGGTCAGGTGGAGCCTTGTTGTGTATGTTAGGAGACAAAAGCAGGCTGTCATCACTGAGTGTCTGTGCGGCTTTGATCAGGACCGAGTGAGGATGGAGCCCAGAGAAAAACACAGGAGTTCTCAAACTGTAATGACCCAAGGAAAACTGAGGGACCTGGCATCAAAGTGGTTCATAGACACTCAAGTACCCCTCATCGTCCACAACGGTTTATTCCCCAACTGGTTCCTGGGCTTTATCACCAGAAAGTAAGTATCCATTGAGGAAACCGTGTTAAATATTAAACTGCTCGAGATTACTCACTTTCTTTTGATATAAGCCAAAGTATTGAGTATTAACTTCTGCGTCTTTTCTTCTTTTATCTCCAGGGATGCTGAAGAAATACTCAGAGAAAGGGAGCCGGGCTGTTTCCTGGTCCGTCTCAGTGATAAGGCCATCGGGTACATACTCTCCTATAAGTAAGTAATGGCTCAGTATGAACATTGTGTTGTGTTGTGTGTGTTGTTGTGCCTTTCTGTGTTGTTTCAGTAATTTCCACTAAACTCCATTTCAAATTGTTATAATTTTACCATTGTGCAGAGACCTAAGACTTTAACAAACATTTTTTTCTTGTTGCAGAGGCAAAGATCGGTGTCGACACTTTGTGATAAACCAAAATGAAGAAGGGCAGTTTATAGTCTGTGGAGACAATGAGGGACATGACACAGTACCTCAGCTGATAGAATTCTACATGTCAAGCCCGTTCAAACCGTTTGGAGAATTTCTGACATCTTCCTGTTTTGAGGTGAGTTTGAGTCACTTTCTTTGGGTAAAATTGATCAAGAACAAATAGGTCTTACTTTTTTTTGTTTTTGCATTCATGCAGGTGATGAACGAAGAGCTATACGATACTGTCCAGATCTGTCCCAAAGAAAAACCTGTGGCTTCTGTCAGAACTGGTAAAAATGTGCCGAAACAACGGATTGACTTGCCCTCTGAGCGGTCATGCACTCAGCCGCCGCAGAGCAACAGGACACGAGAGGTGAGTACAGCTGAAGTAAATGTTGAAGAATCAGTATCTCTGAGCAGATTTTAAACAAGGTTGCTTGTTGTGTCCAACAGGAAGTGCCACCTTTGCCTCAGAGGAACAGGCACTTTGACACCGGCCCCCTGCACAACCAGGACGGTGTTTTGTATGCTCAGATCAGGAAGCAGTCACCTAGGGAAGTATCAAGATCCCAACACATCTTTCAGGGCCATTTACCTGGAGACAATCAAGGAAGGCCCGAGAGATCCACCGCCCAGAATCAGACTGTCATTCGGTTAAGTCCTCCGTCAGGACAAGGATCGTCTCCATTCACCGAACTCAGCCCGCTAGAGAGCTACGGGGAGCACTGTAACAGGCTGAGGACACCCCCACACACCCTACCAAGACTTTCTCCCAAGCCCGTCAGACAAGACATGTGCAGTCACCCGCAGTCAGACCAATGTGGTCTAGACCATGCCGTTTATCACCTGGCCGGTAAATCTGGCAGCCCACACACTGCAGCGTCTGAGTCCAGCTCACTGACACCAGAGCAGAGTGGTGAGTCACTGTACGCTGAGGTCCCCGGTGTGGCCCTCTTCAATCACTTCTCTGAAGACAACAAATACCAGCAGATTTCTGTGCACGAGGACTCAGTTCATCCTAACACCAACAATAACACTTACGAGCCTCCCGAGAACGTCAAACCCAAGGCATTAAAGGTTAGTAATGTATTCAAATGTCTTTCATTCAAATACTTAAATGTCCAAATATAATTGTCATTCATCATATTTAACAATGATAATCTTCTGCAGAATGACAAAAGGAAATGGGCCATGTGGAAATGGTGAAGAGTCTCAGTAATCAGCCACTGAAGAACATGTTGACTTATTTCCCTCTGACACTACTGTGCTACTAATATTCACCCTGTGACAACTTATTTCATATGTTCAGTTTAAACCTACGTGTTCATAAATATTCAAATGTTTTTTTGTTTTCAATGTATTTATTTAAAAATGATGATGCCTTTACATTTTCTAAATGAGCCAAATAAAGTGCACACTGTATACCGAACTTTCATAAAACAATTAATTTAACATGAACCCATACATGGATCAATAGTGAATTTGTGTTTCGTCAAGACTTATTTTATTTCAATAGAAACCCTGTGGTCAGATAAAGATGGCAGAGTCTACCAGGCGGACGCAAAGACCCTCATTTCATTATTATTCAGCTGATATGGAGCTGGGTGTACTGCAGGGATTTAGGATTTGGGATGTGATTATATGAATCCTTCTTGATATAAAGGAAAACAATGTTCAGCACAGACCTAAATATGAGAAGTTCCTGAAGCTGCAATGAAACTTTACAGAGGGAAAATATAAGCTGTTCCCCTGCAGTTTATAATGTGCAGTGCAATGTGGTTTATGTTCAGGGAAATGTTCCTCATCCACAGTTGCAATCTTAAGCGTATTCAATGTGCTCTATGATTTTCAAATTTCTCTGAGATTTCCGGTAAAGGAGACACGTTTCAAAGATATCCGTCTGAATATATTTCTTAAGAAGAAACAAAAATTCAAACCAGCTGCACCAAATTTCCCACACTCATACATTTCAGTTCCATAAACATGCCTGATTTTTGCCTGATCTCACAATTTTAAACAAAGTGATTAAAAAAATCGTTGTTAGGATCCATGCAAAACTGTATTGGATCCTTTCTTGGCAACTGTCTCACCCCGTTCCACCAAGGTTTAAGAGAATCTTTAAGAGAACTGTAGTTTTTTTTGTGATCCTGCTTAAAGACAAACAGCAATAAAAACATAACCTCCTTGGCAGAGGTAATACATCCGGATAAAATAGATGCATTTCCTAGATTGGCCCTTAAAATGTATCAAACTCATGCCTTGAACTGCATGTTCTCCTCATGTTATGCACCTCATTTGAAAAGAGACCTAATAAAACATGATGAGGTCATAATGATTCAACAGAAACCCTTATGTGTAGGCTATTGTATTTAACAGTGATCCATGTAAATGTTTGACAGGCAGCTACCATCAGTGCTGCACTTCACTAACAGGAAACTGGATTTGCATACAGATGTCAAATGTCTGTATATGACAGCAATGTAGAGAAAAGATGCTGACATTTCATTTATTATATTCAATCATTTACTGCTTTTTTCATTTCCAAATACAGTTTTTGTGACTCCAGTAAAAATTCTGTGAAGATAACACTTCAGTGACAATATTTAGATATTTCTGAAACTTTAACAGTTGACATCCTAATGATAAAGTGTCAATGATGCTGCCTGATTATCTATTAATCAGTGTGTGCGATTTACATAGATTAATGCAAAATAAGAGAAACACTGAATCATATGTGCTGTGATGTGGAAATGAATTATGAAAACTCAAGAGATTACTACTATTAGATAGAACACATTAAAAAGGATTTCCCCTACTGGTAACACTTAAAGGGACATAAACATGTAGTTAATTGTTTTCACTGTAATATTGTTTTTAACAGATTTTTTGTGTTTATAAAAGTAAGTTAATAAATTAAACATATTTTAAAATACTCATCCTGAGTAATAACTTGTTTTAAAATGTGTTAAGGAACTTGTGAAGACACGTTAAAGCTTGATTCTTGCTCTCAGAAATAGTAACACATTCAACTTGAAGGCCACTTACTGGTTTTCTCTCTGCACTTTCCATCACATGGCATAGCCTTCATCAGCAGGTGAGTTTGTTCAGTCATTGTGGAGAATGAAAAAGTATTTATGGATGAACGAGCATGGCTTTCAGCGAGGTACATACCTCCACCACATCCAAAACAATCCTGCACATGATTGTCTGGTTCTTATTGAAGAAATATAAACCTGATAACCGGAATAATGTATTTGTCACAAAACATAATTTACAAATTCTGTATCCACCCTTTAATCTGAATCCACACCAAAATTCTTCTTCTCAGGCGGAAACAGTTTTTCCTGTAATCCCACCAAAAAAAAATAAACCAACCAACAAACAGACAGAGGTAATAAATATTTCCTAAATACTTCCTACTTCCTCCACTGTCATCATGCTGTTAAATCTAAAGTCACCATCTGGAATCTGCTCAAATTTAAATAAACAAGGTTCTTTGAAGAGAGACCAGCGTGAGGTTCACTCACAGTTTGGATCATCTCATCCTCAGAAACTGTTGGTTGCTGTCGGGGCTACTTTACAGCCCAAGTATCACAGCGAGCCAGAAGCTTCTCTGCTGGAATCGTAATTAACAGATGTTCTCGGTTAATTAATGAGGCCACACAATCAGCACTGCGTTGCCCCGAATACTTGATACTGGCCCCATAAAGGGAACTGGAGATAATGGAGTGAATTAACTGGCTGCCCTGTGGATTGGACACTGTTTAACTGACTTCAACATCCGCCTCCTCACTCAGTCTCAATCCACACTCAGGATCACATCCTCTCCGCTTTAGTTTGGACGGCCTTAAAGATTATGGCTCTGTTGTGTAGACTTATATTTTGCTGTTTGCTCAGATGCTGCTTGTTTGTTTTTTTGTCTGCTGCCACATACAAGGTCCAGTCTGAACTAGAATGGCACAAGGTAGAGCGCATACCTCTGCCTAGAGCTAGCACTCGCCTTAAATTTGATCAAGCATAAACACATTCCACACACTCATTGATATCAGTCCCAAGATCCATGACTTACTCCATGGAAAATCAGTGAAAATGGTACTGTGGTACTGAATTCCTGAATCTGCTCCCTGATCCAGATCAGCACTAAAATTTCATGGGTTCTTCTCGGACCAATAGTGCATTACTCCACCACGTTTTGTGGTAATCCCTCGAGTCATTTCTGTATAATCTTGTTCACAGGAGTGAAAACATAACCTGAGGTAACAATAGATCATTACAATCTGAGTGAACACAGTAAAACTTCTGGATTAATTATGTTTATGTCTTGCTGCAGTAAATATTATGCATTTTAAATCATTACCAAGAGCTTCATGCAACTGGAAACAGACCTGAACTGCTTCCTCCCCACACACAAAACTGACATGTTGTTTGCCATGTTTTCTTTTGCTGTGGCTTGCGTCCTAGTTTCTACTTTGTGAATCTTGCATCTGTCTGACTCAGCGCCAACTAACCAGGTCACATTTATTTTGCAGCCACTGAAAGACGACTACAGTCAGACTCTAAGCAGATGCTTTTTTCATTTTTTCATAATGAAATATTCTGCATGTACCCAGCGTCTGACTCCTTCGCACATCCTGTACCTAAAAAAACATCCACTGCACAAAAACAACATTGTGCACTGTACCTGGTATAATATAACTGATGCAAATCTGCAACCAACAGCCTGGAACCCAGATTCTATTAATCATTGGCTCACATCACAGAGGCCATTTCCTGCAGCTTCCACTGAGTTCAAGTGTGTGTGTGTGTGTGTGTGTGTGTGTGTGTGTGTAATGTAATCATGCCTGTGAATGCTGAGGCAGCTGGCTCTTGATCACATCCTGCTTAACAAGTTATTACAGCTCTTATGATGGGGAGGCGCACTCATTCATTTCCTGATCTTTACTGTGCACACTGCTTGATCATCATGGGTGGGTGGGTTGTGGCGGAGGCTATAAGGAAGTGATGTTGCTGCAAGTGAGGCCTCCTGGATTCCTCCTGAAATATTCTTTCATACTTTTTTTCACACAAATGCAGTTCACTACACAGACTACCAGTACACACCGGAAAAAAGCATTTATCAAAAATACCTGAAGTCACATAAAAATACTGTAACATGTGTATCCAAAGGATGGCTGTAACTACCATCTCATGATAATGGCTGAGGCAGATGAAAGCTACCACAATGAATTCAGAAGACAGAGCCCTTCATTTAACTGGAGAACAGTAATATATGATTGTCAACGTGCTCAAGAAAAACAGGCTAGCATGAATTTAAGCAACACACCGCATGTACAAATATTGCATAGCTCATATAGAGAATATCTGTATGCCCTTAATGCCAATGCTGTGCTTTCATTCACTTCAAGCTTTAACCTTATATCTGATGTGCCATTGTAGGAAGAATGACGTTTTCTCCCAACGAGAGACCGAACCAGGTCAAGCCCTTAATAAGTGATAAAAGGAAAATTCGTTTTTTATCACAGTTGAGAAATCCAGAGTCCGGGGAATCCAGCTTTACCCAATATCTTTCTAACTCGGCAGACTTCAATGAGGCCAGAGAGAACTGATGTGTGATGTTTTTTTTGACAATGGAACTGGAGGACAGGCACCATGCTGTGACCAGGACACAGTTCAGGTAGAGTCCTGAGGTTCATCACGCTGTCGACCTTGGAAAGCTTCCACTTAGCCCTCTCAGATTCGTATATGGAAGGTACTGGGGTAACAAAAGAAACAACATGAGGGACATTGAAACAGTGAGGTCATTGCACATGTAGACATACTGATTTACTGTATATCTGAATATAAAGACATAAGAATTAGGAGATGTGTTCAGTGGAGAAAAACGGTGAGGTTATTTACATATAAATAATAAATAGGCTCAGAAGTAAAGTGATGATGTGAGGGTGGCCATGAAATGATGGAAATGATGATCAGATATCTGGGTGATGAAAACTTTAAGTAGCGAGGGACACAGAGCCCACATTGCTGCAGCATGAAAGGTAATGCAGACTGCTTTCAAAATCCCACAGCTTTTCATATAAAATGAAGTGTACATGATATATTGCTTTTATACATGCACTCTTAAAATGTTACTTGTTGTCAGTATGGTACATTTAATTACCTTAAAAAGTCAGGTGCCCTAGTTATCATATTCTCAAAGTCAGCAAAGGAGAGTTTGTTGTCTCCGTCCAGATCGGCCTCCTCGATGGCTTTCTCACACACCAGCTCCACCTCCTCAGGAGTCAGCTCCTCCTTTGTCAGCTTATTCAGAGTCTTTTCCAGGTCCTCTTTGCACAGGTAATTGTCCACATTGAAATCTGTGGGTAACAGCGGTTACAGCAAACAATGGCTGACTTTCAGTTTACACCGTTCTGGGAACTTTAAAAGAAAATGATAGAGAATCCTTTAGAAATGCAGCAATACCATATATTTTGAAGGCATATATGGCCTTGAGTTCTCTGGGAGCCATTTCACTGAGGACTGAGAACATGTCCACGAATTCATTGAAGCTGAGATTTCCCATCCCGTCCTCTGAGAAAGACTCGACGATCCTGCTTCGAAATGGATTTTCCTGCAAATGAGTGTAACAACAATTAAATATACACCAGTGCCAATATCAATGCAAAAGTAAGACTTACGAGGAGCATATCACAATATAGAGCTCATAGGATGAGAAAAGAGTCCTATAAAAAGCATAAGGAACCATAGGCCTTATGACCATGAGGTTTTATATGCTGTTGTTTGTTTCACATGTGAGCTGCAGCAGTTTTCTGCTGATCACAGGGTTCATCTGAAAAAGGCTGACTTCTTCTCTGTGGCGATGTGGCCAAGCCAATATTTTTCCTCTATTGCTAACCGTTGTGACGGGTGGTTTTATATCTGTTTTATATTAGCTGATTTGGCACAATCTGCAATGCATTTATGCTGTCATTGAAGCCATCAAAGCAGACCTGTGTGTGATGTAAGGATAGCATCTTCGAGCTTACTGCAAGCTCAGCATTTAGATAAACAGCCATCTAAAGCAATGTCATTTCTAATAGGATATTCAGAGACACGTCAGTGGAGCATGAATCAGTCCAATCGACTCAACACAGCTCATTAAAACCAAGTCCCAGTGAGATAGGAATGTATTTATGGTAATGAAGCTGCACAGGACTTTGGGTGAGCATGTATGGCCGAGGCCTCATCAATCCTGGCTTGACTGGTCTCCATCTTCTTCTTGCCACCCTCACACCCCTGTGATCATGAATTTCACAGGCAAGAGTGCTAATTATACCCAGAGCAAGGACACATTTTGAGTGTCTAAGCAAAACCCTTGGTGATGAAATGCGACATGGCATTTCTACAATTTCTGGATGTTCTTTTCAAATGGCAGAGGCTTCAAAATAGGGAGGGAATGCATCTATCAGGAAATACAGGCAGAGCATTTCATGGCACATTAGCTTTCATACACTGTGTCATACAATCAGACGTGTGATGATGTTTAAAAATCAATTCTGGCTTCTAGAAGAGACTGTGTATTGATTGAACCACGTGAGCAGTGGGTGCCACGTTTGTGTCCTTTTGGTATGCGTGTTGTTTAAGGCCCAATGAAGTGCAGTGTAGAATTTGTTGCGACTTGTAGACACGTTACTTTCAATATCAATAAACCTTGAATAAAGAGGCAAACAGTGCCCTGACGGCAGTGAGGGTCAACACAGTAAAAGAAAAACACTTGTTTTCATTGATGCAGTGTTTTAAACCAGACTGAATTATAGAACTTTTATTTTAAAAAGTTGTGAACCTGCATCAGAAGATTGTCACTCGGTTAATAGACCTTTGAGCCAACATGAAAAATAACACCAGTTCAGTAAATCATTAAAACTTGTACATAAGCCACACCGATTAACAGTAAGTAATGATACTCAGTTTAAGAGAGATACATCACAGGACTAAAAGCATGAAGTATATAAAGGATTATTTTACCTTTAACTCTGGCATGTTGACTATCAAGGCTAAAGGCAGTTTACAATCAGGCTCCTTGGTGTAGTCCATTGGTACAAGATGTGGAGCCAACTCATGGTATCTGCCATGTAACCTAAAATAAAAGATGGAGAACAATTACTGTGCTGAAGTTTTTTACTCAACAAACGACAACAAAACACCTGAAACATAGACAAATAAGTAGCATGATCAATTTACTTACATGTTATCTATTGATTTATAGAAAGCACAGGTAGAGAGTAACAATTATGGAATAGACAAACTAATGAAAAATAATAATTTAGTAAACTACTTCAAATTTCCTCTACGGTAAAACATGGAGCTGTAAAAACAAACTAACTCTGAGTGTGCTGGACCAGAAAAATCGAATTAATCTTTAAACACAGTTATTCCACTTTTGAACCTTTCTCCCTTCAGTCCATCTCTTTTCTCGGGCTGTAAAATTCTTCAATTTCACGAAATCTATTATTGTGAATCACTGAGGAGGCTGCTTATCACTGTTCATGAGTAATAATGTCATGGCATACCTTTGTTGCCAGAGCAGAGCCATTCATCAGCTGAAATACTGGTCTTAAAGGACAAACTTACTATAATTAAATAAGATAAACCTGACAAAAAGATGGAGGTCAATACGTGCACTGCAGGAAATGAGTGGGTAAACCTGCACCATGACCTTTGAAATGGTTTGAGACTTCTCTGACCTATTTGCCTCTAAAATCTCCTTGGAAATTTAATTGCAATAGCAAATCATGAGGAAACTATTAACAGTAGCATTCATTTACAAATAGTAAATACACATAGGAAGATACAATGAATGTTGCAGTGTCAATGCTGGATAAGACATAAAGCTGAAAGGTTCAAATCAGTGACCTCATGGTCGCCAGTGATAACCTGATGTTACATAACTGTGATGTAACAGCTGCAGCTAGAAACACGCAGTGTTTTATGAGGGTCACATAAAGTGTAGGACCCTATTTTGCCTCTGCTGATTGTCCATTTGGCTTCCAGTCCACCACTGACCACAGAATCCAATCACACATGCAGTTTGCTGATGAGTGATAAGAGGGCGAACACGATAAATACTGAGTTAGTGAGAAAAAGGCATCTTCACCTTTCTTTATACAAGCAGGTTTGTTATGTGTTGAATTATTGACATTTCAGGTAATTTTCATTGTTTGTTTGTTTTTTAATCAGAATTAGGAGGGTATGTTTACATGTGCATTTGTTTGTTTATTATTTAGTGTGACAAAAAAACTTGGTTCCTTTTCTTTTCTTTCTCTAACATTGTGATATATATTTTTTTCCCAGAGATCGTGATGAAGACAATCAGACATAATCAAGGGACTGGCAACTATGACTGTGTCAAATATGGTGCAGCCTCATGGAACTTAACAGTTCCATCAAGGTTCGAAAATCTTTACTGCACATTAGGGGCAAATCAGACCCTAACTTCCTGTATGCCTGGATTCACATCACCGCTATCCTTACCTAATGTTAGCCCACAACATTTTTGAGTATCTGCATTTAATTAATTTACGTTGCTGCTTATCTTCCAGCATCTAGAACCTCCTGATAAAAGACACTGAAACATGAGCATCACTGGTCAATTTGATTAAAGAGAAAAGCAGGGGTCTTTTTTAAATGCCCATTATCCAGGGACTGAGTCACAGGAAGAGAGGAATGACGCTATACCCAGTGAGCCATGATACCCAGCGCAATCACCAAGAGTACATTCATATTTATTTCATTTTTTAGGTGTTGAGGATGCACATGTTGACAGAGGTAGAAACGTGACACTTCATCGGGCAGTGCTGAAAACAACACCACAGTCAAAAGGTCGACGTGACTTTCAGAGGTTTCAGTAACATCCTGATAATGCTGCAGGACGACATGGTGAGATTGACGGAAAGATATGAGAAGATTGTGAATGTATCAGAGGAGAGAATTATTTCCATGTGATTCTAAGAAATGTAGCAGCAACTAAACAATCATTGACAGTGTTTGACCGTTTTGCTTCATTTCGTTTTGCGCGTACACATTGAAAACAATGTTATGTTTAATTTAAATTGTATTATGTCAAGTGGTTGCACAGAATGAACTTGTCGAAATCAAGATATAACTTTTAAGTTTAGTGTACATACTTTTTCATTTGTTTGTACTTTTTTACAATTTTTTTTGAATAATTCAAGATTAATTACCATAAGATTCAATAACACATTCAAATCTGTTAAATAAGCCAAATTGAAACATGTGACAGTTACTGTACAAGGAGTCAAATTTCAGTGCAGCTTTGCTTTGTTTAATTAAACTCCTGGTGAGGTAGATCTATAAACAAACCGGAAATCTTCTTGTAATGTCTGATTGTCTTCATCACGATTCTGCCACCCAAAAAAAAAAAAAAGATTACACATCAATAGTGTGCATTTATGCCAAAATCCAATATCTGAATGTTGTAAATGTTGTAATCAGAAAACACAGATGTTATGGTGTTGCTCTCCAGTTCCTCTATGGAGGAAAAAGGGAAATAAAACATAGCCTCCATATGTTTTGGTGATGATATGTTCATGGTTTATTATGCAGTCTGTGAGGACCATAATCAAGATCTACACTTCATAAAACTTACCGCAGAATTTCTTTGCGGGTGAAAAATGTACAGTCCTGCAATGAAAAAAACACATTTTTTGAGTTTGATAAAGAACTGTGTGTCGAATATAATAACATTACTTTTCCTCTGACAGTCATGTGAACAACCCTTACTGTAAAAACGCTCATTGAGGTGTCCAGTTTCTTCTAAATGAGGAATGTGTTTGGGTGTTGTCACCTGCCACTTACGGTAGGAGCGATGAGGCAGAGAGGAACATGATCTGCTGTTGTCTGACATGCATGTACTGGCACACGCATTATCCAACAGCCCGACTGAGAGCACCTCAGTTTACATTTTCTCATGTGCCAGTTGTGTCTGAGCTGTGTCTCCTGAGTGTGAGGCCAGCTGAGCTCCAGAGAAAATATATGTATATAAGAAGAAATAAAAGCAAGGAACCCTATTCACTGTGACACCTCAAGTCTAAAACAAGCCTACTGAGGATATGTAGGTTAATTATAATTGTGTGTGAATATTTATAGCAATGTCTGACAATGATATCACAGCCTGCTTGTATCCTGCATACAATATGATGGAGCCTTTACACATAGAAAATATAGAAAGTGCAATGGGAGAATCTACAAAACTTTGGTCAATTGATTACGCATCGGGTGGTATATCTAAAACATTTGATCCAAAAAAGTACGATGTCACATTGATTGATATTGAAGTGAGGCCTAGACAAAAAGCAACAGTATTTCTAAGAAGGACTTTTAACAACCAGGAGTAACCAGAGAGGCTCTTGAGAACCAAACTGTCTCCTGAGAGTAGAGTTTCACAGCATATCACTCTGACTTGGCATCAATTATTGAGTCCACACCTAATCACATGATAAACCTGTGCACATGAAGATGAAAAACCTGGATTATTGTTCCATGAAGAACATTATAACTCAACCGACAGCAGATCCTCCACTTTGCAATGAAATCAAGACCTTCAGCTGTGAGACTTGATTTAATGTATTTAAACAGTGGAGTCATAAATGATAACACTTCAACTGGTAATTGGTTATTGCCTATATTATTATTTGCTTATGTGAAATACAGGACCACCTTCTTAGATTGAAGTTAAGCGGTGTTGACGACCAAAGATGAGTAAATAAATTCAATTCTTTCTCTCTCCTACAAATGTTATATTATTTTATTTTTGCTCTACTTTTACTTAAATCCAAGGCACATGGAGGCTCCATCAAGAGTGATAGGTCAATACCAAATATTATTATTATTATAATCAACATCTCTTATAATGTTTATAAGCAAAGCTCCACATGCACAATTTCAATTGATTTATTAGCCTCTAAGATGATTTTTGTGATCCTGGTGGGTTGAACATGCACAGTATATATACTGTATATATAATCCACATACAGACACAGACATGCACCCTCACCTGGTAGGCATCAAGCTGCTCGTCAGTAAATATAGTTTGTTTATTACCCATCTTGATCAAGTGATCTGCTGCTTGAACATCCGGAGCCTTTTCTCAATGAAAGGCATTTAGTCTCCTCACAGGACAAGTCCAGGACGCTGGATAAGTCTCACTGAAATGTCTCTGGTGTCCTTACAGCTGATGTCCTCCCTCACTGCAATACTGTAGAGCATGTAGTATAAATAAAGAGCAGTTATTGTACTGGATGTGTCCAGTTGAGCCAGAGGAGTCTGACAGCGAAGTCCAGGGAGAGCAAACTGATCTGCTTCTCTTTAAGCCCCTCGGCTGCTCTGCACTGGAGTCAAGACAGACCAATGAGGATGCAGGTAAATAAATAAATAATCTAACAAATAAATAAATAAAAACACAACCTGCTGCTAAAAGGAGAAGCTGTCCATATATTCAGGCTGAAGTATAATGTGTATAATAATAATAATAATGATAGCATTAATAATAATGATAATAATATATATATACTAATATAATATAGTTGTTATTTGTATTATTATTAGCATTATTGTTTATAATAATATGTATGATAATAAACAATTTAATATAATAATATGTATAAGAAATAATTATAGTAGTAGTTGAGGTAGTAACAAAATATTATAACTATCTATATTCTATAAAAATATAGATTGTATATGTAAATATTTATGTATACGATCATTTGTATTAAATTATTTACAACATGTAATACATAATTGTTATTACGACTATTATAATAACATAACTGTTATTACATTTTTATACTGAATAATTCCATCTACATTTTTTTAACTATGTGTTTGGTTTACTTACTTTTAACCTGCAATGTACGGTGACTGCAGGTATTCCAAACATGAAGGCTATATAGATAGATAGATATGTTCACCACGATAATAACATGATGTCTGATTCTACAGCACCTTTAAGATTATTTACAATAATCAGATTTCTAAGTGTGCATTGTCCCTCATTGACATACGATCATTTTGATGGGATCAGATGTAAACCCACTGATTGCTGTTGTACTTCACTCTGATCCTCACAGGGATCATCTCAGTCACTGCCCAGAGTTTACAAGCGCTCCACTCTCCACCGCCACAGAGGAACCTGTTGCTCTGAGGCAACATCTCACTCCCAAACTCTGCAACACTTTCTGCAGACGTGTCTCCATCTGGCAGCGGCCTGTGAAAACAAAGCATCCCCCTCCCTGTGCGCTCCTCCTGGGCTGAACCGCCGCAGACACCGAGGTCCGTCTCACCCAACATCCACCTGCCTGTGACTGGCTGCGGGAGCAGTGCGTGTGGACACTCCGGGACAGATGCCTGGTTCACACTCACACCAACACAACCACAGCCTCGTCTTGTCGCCGCGCTGCTTCACGCCATCGCTCTCGATCTCCACATTTATTACAGGCAAACTTTCCCACGATGGAGTCGAAGCGAGATAAAGACCAGGGTAAGTTGTGATGGATGTAGCTTGTTGCTACGTCGCTATGCTAGGCGCTAGCGGCGTATGCTAAGGCTTATGCTAGGGTGAAGCTAACGGGGTGTCGTTTGTTCCGCAACATTTTGTTTACGTGTGTCGTCTCCAGAGAGAGAACAAATGATTTCATGGAATAACCCACCCCGCGTTTCAGCAGCTGTCGCCCTCATGACACCGCGCAGCTTCACGAAGCTAACAACATGACCCGGGGACGAGCTACAACTAAACCCCATCACTTGGGATGTTTTCTGCAGGTGTCAACACGATGCATGCGTTGTTTCCTCCGTGCTGTAGTGGTGCAACAGTCACCAAGGTTATTTACGTCAGAAGCGAATGAAATGAAATGTAAATCTGGAAATGTGACAGAATGAATGGGAACCTCCAGCGTCATTATGTGTGATTAACCTGATGAGTGTGCCGCTGCTGTCTGCAGGATGTCTGCAGGATGGTTTGTCTCAGCAGGCTCATGCAGCAGCATTCATGTGCACTCAAGAGTTACTGACTTTCTCTGCCTGAGGAAAAGGAACCCAAATATAACTCCCATGCAACTGTTGAGACATCACAATCATCCCACACGACAGCACATCAGCCTTGTTTGTTTGTGACCCTGCAACTGCATATTGTCAGTGTGCTGCCACATATGAAATTCAGGGATTTGCTTGGATTCGTATTTACCATTTAAATGTGATTGCACAAGCTATTTTCATGCTCCACCATAAACGGAAGAGACAGCGTGCCTCCAGCACGGTGCTTCTCCGGTGCTGACTCACAAGTAAGATTTCTTGCATGTATAAGAATAGAAAAGTGAACGCTCTTCGCTGTTCTGCAGATGCAGACTGTGAGAAGGTAACCGCTGTGCTGCTCAAGGGACGAACAGGAGAATTTGATCTGGAGTCCATACTCTTTCTCAAATTGAGAGGTCTCGGTAAGATGAAATGAATATTTCAGTATTTGTGGTCTTTCCAAATTGCATCAATGTTTGGCATTATTGTTTTTTTGTTTGTCTTACAGGAATACATGATCTTGGATGCATTGGGGAGTGTGTAAATTTGGAGAAACTGGACCTCTCTGGAAATAATATCACAAATTTGGCTCCTTTAACGTCTCTGCGGCTTCTTTCTGTACTCAATTTGTCTGCGAACAGGATTTCCAATTTAGGTAAGATTTCAGGAGCAATGGTTTTATTGATCTGTAGTGCTCTGGTAAGATTCTATCATTTATATAATTTCATTTTTTGTGTTTTTTTAATTTAATGTTATTACTTTTGCACTTCCAGAGCCCCTGCGCAGTTGTGACAGTTTACAGAACTTAAATGTAGCTGGGAATATCATATCCAGGTACTGCTGTAACGAATACTTCACCTTAATGAATAAGTCAACATGGCAAAAATTACGACATCGATGTTTGGCATGAAAATATTAAGTATAATATTTTATGGCCCAGTAAAATGATCATGTCTGTGTTTTGTTTTCACCAGCATTGAGAGCCTTCACTGCCTTCAGTCTTTGAGAAAGCTAGAAAATATACGTTTTAAAGACAACACCTACAATTATACTAATCCAGGTATGTTATTCAGTAAATTTTTTCTATAACAATTTAGTGGATGGTAAATCTTGATTAGTGAACTCACAATGCCTCTCCTTGTCAGTGTGCAGGAACACATCATATAGAACCATAGTTCTGGAGATGTTCTCCAACATTAAGGTGCTGGATGGTAAGATGTTTTTTTATATATTCTTATGCATTGCATTAAAACTCGAATAATTGTGAATGTTTCCCAAGGTCTGTGGATTTGTTTGTCTAAACTGTAGGTGAAAGAGTGGTCGGACGTGGCAGTGACTTGTACCAGTTATGCAAAGACATTGATGACACCATCAAAGGTACATTTTTTAACTAGTATGTAAGTGTATAATGTTTTTACTGTGCATTTAAGAAGTATTCAGACCTTGTGTTGCTGATTTATGCAAAAAAAAAAAAGTTTTTACTCATCAATCTACACACAATAGCCAATAAACACTAAGCAAAACAGCATTGTAGATATTTGAATTCAATTCAAATTCAAAACCACTTTATTTGTCCCTGGAGGTCAATTCTAAGGCGCATAGAGCTTGACAAGACAACAAGTAAAAACAAGAACGAAAACAACGATGACATCAGTGCAATTCCCACGGAAAGTTAGAAATCAGTGCAGTTTACTAAAATTAGAAAGAGAGAGAAGTGTGTATGAATGTAAAAGGACAGTGAACAGGATAACGGCTATGAAACCCGATTGTAAGAACGTAGATAAATACTGAATGATTAAGGTGATCGGAGTAAATAAGTAATACAGGAATAAATTATGTAATAGTCAAGGTGAATGACGAATATATGTACAGGACCAGATACATATAGTTCTCTACCAGCCTGTGATGTTTTCCTGGTCAAGTAAGACGTTATCAGGCTGAAAAGTTAAAGCAATGTGTTTTTTTCTTTCTCTATGAATCTTAAGCTGGTTTATATAAGAATGGACAACTTGTTGAACGTCCTGATTGCAAGCCATGGGTGGAGGATAGTTACTGGGAGATAAAGCGTTCGAACAACGCCATAATCGAAGAAGCCTACAAACAGTTTAATGGTAAGATGTTCTCTGGATGACTGTTTTGCATGTGATCTGATCAACTGTCAACTCAACCTCATCGTGTCTGCTTTATTGTAGTCTATGTAATCATTGTCCTTTATTTTACTCTCTACAGACGTTCTTCATGAATGCAGACTCCTCAACAACAGAGCCACACATGTCATTTCTCAAACTGAGAGATCAATGAGCTTGAAGAAGCAGCCAAAGCAGTATGCCATCTAAGTTGGGCTAACTTCAACAACCTTCGTTGTATGATATCCTATGTCTCATGTACTGTAGGCTTTTTAAATTTTTAAGCTATATCCAAATGCTTGATAAGTATGTTTGCCAGATCCACTTTATCTGTGTTGCAGTGCAGGCATTTGTTGAAACTTTATCGCATCCTATGCATTGGGTATTGGACAATACATGCAAGTGTTTTAAAAGCCTTTATCCATACTGACACCCCTCAGTTTGGTTCAAAGATGTCTTTACTTGCACGGTGTGCATTTTGTGCAATGTTGTAGCCTGAACTTATGAATTTATGCTGAGAGCTAATGCTGCTCAAGAATTAAGAGCTCTTTTCCATTTTCCATTGCTGGATATACATTTGGGAGTTAATGTGTCCCATGCTGTATGCTTTCTTAGTATGGTAAACTTTTGCAAAAAGTGAATGAATGATTGTTCCAGCTGTTTCTACTTGTTTTATACCATAGACTTTATTATGTGTATGACCAACCTGTAGAAAATACAGTGCTTATAAAGGTGTAAAAGTATAGTTCACTATTGGTATTTGACTAATTCTTACTTTGATACTGATGCACACCTTGTGTACACATACAGAGCCAAAGAAAGTGTATTAATAATGTGTCTTAAGTAAAGAAAGGAGCCACACACTGAAGGCAGCCATGCACGGTGGAATTTGTAGACTCTCAGTAACAGTCTACTGGCGCCACCTGTTGGCGGTAATATATGCTACAAAATTGTCTGAGGCACACATGTATTTGAGTGCCACATCTGCGAAGAACAAGTGTTTTAAATAAGTGCACATTCTCATAGATGAGTTCAATGATCCATAGACACATTATACAGGATCAGCAGTGGCAGTGTCCAATCAACAGGAATCTGTGAACTCTAAACTATTCGTATATGCATTCTGTAAGTAAACAACCTTCCACAATCCAAGTGTAGAAAATAGCTTTTTGGTAGCTGGTCTGTTTAAAGCATCAAGACTGGAGGAGAGATGTTTGACAGTTTGTTTATTTTGTAGAGTTAAGTTGAATGTTATGGATGGTGAAAAACATACAGTATAAAAGCAACACTCAGTAAACAGGAAGTACTCTAAAAGGAAACCATCTAATCAGAGTACTTACTATTCAAAAGGAATAGCAGCAACTTAACAAATATCAGTTTCTCAAATAATGCATCCGATGCACAGTCAACTTCAGGTAACAAAACTTCAGGCAGCATCACAAGAGAGTGCCGCAGTAAACTAAGAGTGGCGGCAGAATTTGGATTACGAAGCCTAACGAAGATATTTTCATTCAATACATGTAGCAGGGTGATGGTAGCAAGGAACAGAAGGGAGAAGAGAGAATTGCTTATAGTTATAATAACAACACACTTTTCATTATAGGAAAATATCCCAATGGTTATGTGTCAGGACAGAGAAACTGTACATCTCGTGTCATGCAGTGCACACACTACTGAAATATGGGAAATTGCTGTAGAAATTGGGATGATGAAGAATTAGTTGGGAAAAAAATGTCTCAGCAATTGAGGCAGTGAATTTCTGTTTGAATCTTAGGCCTTAAATCCTCCCATTAGACTTAATGTATATATTTGATTACATGATTATC